CAATGTACTTCCTCTATACTGAATAGACTATGGCACCTTTACACCATCAACAAATACACCTCATGTTTTCTTTTATTGTGGACACTATCTGCTATTGAATAGATATAACAGGTTTGTTTGGATATTCTAGCTTAAATGCACAGATCTGAGAGAAATCTACCACCAAGTTAATCTTTGATGTGATTTTAGTCCAGTTTTATTAAGAGATCTTGAGGAAATGATGACAGTTTCACATGTTGTATGGAAGTTTCATTGTGCCTCTTTAACTTGTTTTCATACTGGTGGCATTAAGAACTGTAGTTACATGTGTATATACATATGGATCCATGAATGACTATATGTGCATACATACAAACATACATGCAAGACATTCCAAAAATACTGACATCCTATGAATGCTGTGTACCATTAATTTTGGTTTTAAGCTGCTTTAGGATGCCATTATGCGTGGAATTTCTCTAACCTAATCTAGATATGTTCATTTTAGCTATATAAGTCTGATATTACCCCCACAGATTCGTTTATAGTCCTCAAAGTGTAATCACATCCAATTCTGCTCACTGTAAGATAGTTACTTAGCTAGTGTAGATGAATAGCTATGGAAAATACAGAGGAACATGTCTGCTTAGAAGAGGAATAAGAATTTAACTTTTCTTCATCAAAACATAGCTGTTATTTATCTCAGCCTTCACTACTCACTTTTTCTGCTTACCTCCCTGTCTCTGAAATACTGACACAAAATCTGTTTGAGAGATCCTGCTCTCTCTGAATGTCAGTGGGATCAGTCTGTCCTGCCTTCAGATTTCTGAAAGCCCCATTTCACTGTCTGTAGAGACCATGATCAAACCCAAATTGTCTGCTACCTGCAACAGCCTCTGCCTGGCTGTTCCACCTTTCCCTCTCTTTCTTCCATGCTATTCTGTCTTTTCACATTCTCTCCCTGAGCCTGAGGTCACACATTACCTCAGTGGAGACAGACTCACAGTCCTGTCGCAGCTGATTGTACAAACAAGTTGATGATAGAAAATAACTAACAATTTCAAGTTGCAGAACAAGGGAAGCCAATCAATACCTTTACAATCCTTATGATCCAAAGGTCAATTAGGTAGTTTATATGTGCATTTCTGGTTTTGTACAAATAGCTCTTGCAAGCTTCACTAAAATGTATTTGCATTTTATCAGTCCATGACCTTATAGGCTGTACAATTCATGAGCAATTTAAGGCATTGTCAAAAATGTTTCTGAGATATTACAAATAGTATAAATAAAAAATGAGACTATAATAAGCATCCACCTACATAAAACTGCATTTACTCTATGTATCAGCATGTCTCTAGTTCTGTTTTTTCACCAGGAACCATCTCAACTAAGTAGAATGCAAAAAAACATCAACATGTTAATTTGCAGTACAACTTTGTGAGATTTCCATGAGTTTGTTATTTAGGTCAAGGAGTCTGAATTATCCCTTGCTCAAATAAAAATCACCAATGTTACATACGAATGACAAAGAATTTGTACCCATGACACATATTTTGCATTCAAATTAATTGAAACTAATAAATAATATGAAAAAGGGATAGCTTAATCCTGAAGACATTAAAATCTATAGAAAGGAGTGATGACGAATCACATTTTATGACTGGATTTATCATTGCTAGAAATACCTAACCTTTGGCTCCAACAGCCTCCAACTTGTCAAACTCTAGTTTAATTTCTACACTTAAACATCTCTGCAAATATTTCTATGTGGCATAATCTTCGAAGCCAGAGTGTTTATGCATTAGACAATGAAAGGATGGATATTTCTTTATATTGTTGGATCCATTGGATACTTCAGCAATGTTCAATGAAAGTTAGTAAGCAAGTGCATTCCCCACATATTAAACTTTGAACCAGTTTGAAGTTTCCTTGTCATTGCCTTCATCTTTCATTTTTTCCTTCTCTTCTTCTGTCCTTCTTAAGTATATCAGATCACTCAGTTTTCCTCTTACTCCATGTTTGCAATGATCATTCAACACAATGCTCTGCAGGGGTCTGCCTGTCTCAGTCAAGGCGCTCAGATTTTGGTCACGAGTGGTTCCTTGCCCAAGGGCTGCTATCTTTTTGCACAGACTATCAGTTCCCATTTAAATCAGCATCCACTTCAGCACATTAGTCATCTTCTCCTTTCTCCCTCCTCAGCCATCACTTTGTCCCCACATGCCCTTCTTGCTTAATCACTCACACAGGCAGGTGATTCAGCACACATGTGGGGCAGTAATAATAATAATGGCCAGTCTTCACGAGCGAAGATCCGGGGAAGGAACACCTTCCAGCCTGCGCATTGGATTTTTTAGGTGAGACACAGTGTGCGCGGAACTGAGCCCACCCTTTAATCCTAAGGTTCATCTGCCGGGGCCAAACGAGCTTGGATGGTGGCAGCGAGGTCCTTAGGACGTAGATGGGTTGCCTTTCAGGGCTAACGAGCTCCATCTGCCCGGGGAGTGTCCCTGACCGGGAATCGAACCTGGGCCTCGGCGGTGACAGCGCCGCGCCTTTACCACTAGACCACCAGGGGCTCCCATGTGGGGCAGTATGTCTTAGGGAACAGCTGTCATCACCCTACGCTTGCACCAAGTGTGCTTCATAGCCCTCCCAACACCCAAAACCACAGCCTCACAGCTGCTCATCCCTGAACTGCAGTATTCAAATTACACTCAATTTTTACAGTCTAACTTCGTTGACTTCTTGTGGTTGTTCAGGAATATCTTAAATACATAGACATAAACCAGTAGGTACCGACTGCCCTCCATAAACATATATTCCTAATTCAGTTCTCCCTTTTTCTATGAGAAATTCCAGCTTCTCTTTTTCATTTCTTCACAACTTTAACCATAATTCAGGAGTTTTTCCTCTACTAGTCTGAGTCAATACTTTTTGCAGCAGTATAGAAACAAGGATGATCTTGTGTAAGCCTGCTGCTTCTCTCTGCTGCTTCTCTCTGCTGCTTCTCTCTGCTGCTCTGCCACTACCAGGCACACTCTTGTAATTCATAACCAGAAGTTTCCACAACCATAGGCATTTCCATGTCTTTTACAAAGATATCTTCACCAAGATCAGAAGTACAAAATGCACCTTATTTTGTGACTTTATTTTCTTGCTCTACATGTTGAAGATACTCTTTGTAATCTTCCTAGCTCAGCCCTGAATCATTATTTATTTGATATTCTAGACCACCACTAAAATATTTGATTGAGATTCTACAGTTTTTTTCTGTGTAATCACTTGGTGACTTAATAAGTTCATCTTGCATATTCCCTCCATGTCAAAGAATAAAGCCCCATAGTGTGTTCTGTAATTCTAGTGTATGCATTATTAGATACTTGTCTTAATAAAGTGGCACTGGTCAACAATTGAGGGGAAATCCACTAGGGCACTACACTCGTTTTTGCAGCAGTTTACCAAATAAGATCGGCAGCATCCCAGGAGCTACTGATTCTGTTCAGGGCATAGAGAACCCAGATTGCTGTTCAGTTAATTGTTAATTGTGAGGCCACTGTCAATTTTCATGTTTTTATGCATGTTTTGCATTCTGCTTGGTGCATGTTTGGAGAAAATTGTATCAGCTTTGTTCACAACCTGATGTGTACTTGGAATATTTGTGAATACTCAACAAACTATTGTATTCTATAAACCATTATATTTGAAATTTTAGAACAAATGTTAGAGTAGATTAAAACATGATGTGTCTACACCTCTTTCTAATTCTGCCTAAAATTCTCAGTCAAGGCAAAAGTGAAACAACAACAATCTTATATTGGGAGCTAGCAGTGTTCCACCTTTTAATTCTTTAAGTGAAAGTGAAATCTTTGTGTTCTGAACACAGCATACTCCTGAAAAAGATGGTAACCCACAGCTTGGACAGGGGCACTCTGTGCTGGGTTAAGAACTGGCTGGAGGACCAGGCCCAGAGAGTGCTGGTGAACGGGGCTGCATCCAGCTGGCGGTCGGTCACCAGTGGTGTCCCCCAGGGATCAGTGCTGGGCCCAGTCCTGTTTAACATCTTTATTGATGATTTAGATGAGGGGATTGAGTCCATCATTAGCAAAGTTGCAGATGACACCAAGCTGGGAGGGAGTGTCGATCAGCTGGAAGGCAGGAGGGCTCTGCAGAGGGACCTGGACAGACTGGAGAGTTGGGCTGATTACAACGGGATGAAGTTCAACAAGGCCAAGTGCCGGGTCCTGCACTTTGGCCACAACAACCCCTGCAGCGCTACAGGCTGGGGACAGAGTGGCTGGAGAGCAGCCAGGCAGAAAGGGACCTGGGAGTTTGGATTGACAGGAAGCTGAACATGAGCCAGCAGTGTGCCCAGGTGGCCAAGAAGGCCAATGGCATCCTGGCCTGCATCAAGAACAGTGAGACCAGCAGGAGCAGGGAAGGGATTCTTCCCCTGTACTCAGCACTGGTGAGGCCACACCTGGAGTGCTGTGTCCAGTTCTGGGCCCCTCAGTTCAGGAAAGACATTGAGGTGCTGGAGCAGGTCCAGAGAAGAGCAACCAAGTTGGTGAAGGGACTTGAACACAAGTCCTATGAGGAGAGGCTGAGGGGTTGTTTAGCCTGGAGAAGAGGAGGCTCAGGGGAGATCTCATCGCTCTCTACAACTACCTGAGAGGAGGCTGTAGCCAGGTGGGAGTTGGTCTCTTTTCCCAGGTAACTATCAGTAAGAAAAAAGGGCATGGTCTCAAGCTCTAGCAGGGGAGGTTTAGGCTAGATATTAGGAAGAAATTCTTTACAGAGAGGGTAATCAGGCATTGGAATGGGCTGCCCAGGGAGGTGGTGGATTTACTGTCCCTGGAGGTGTTTAAGATGAGACTCGATGTGGCACTCAGGGCCATAGTCTAGTAACTGGGGTGGTCCTTTCCACCCATTTGATTCTATGATTCTATGAACTGATCATTGGCACTTCACTACATTAACGACTGGCACAGAAAAAGGGTAAGAGAATGTGCTTTACTTACCCAAGGAGTTTGACTGAATGAGTTTTCCATTTAGATCCTGCTTTCTGGGTGTGTCGATATATTCCGGTTTTGTAAAGGAAAAAGTCTTCATACACTCTCATTACAGCTGAAAAACAATAGGAAAAATCAGCACAGTCAGCAAATATTACTTCTATTCTTGTTCACTCCTTGTGTTTTACCAGTGAAATTTTTGTTGTGTTGGACTGCATTGTGTAGTTTATAATTACACTAAAAACATTAATTTCTTCGAAGTCCCCTGCTGTGAGTGAACCAACAGAAATACTTGAATAGAGCTCTCTAGAAGGTCTTTTATCAAGCTGGTTGGCTTTCTTTGTCATGGAAGACCCCTATTATGGACTTCTTCCAATACAGTAAGAAGAAACTTTCCCTGTGAGGCTTACATGAATTTTGAAATCCAATTCAATAAAACAAAGCTCCTCAAGATTCATGTATAAACTACTCAGTTCTGACTACCATCTGCATATTCAAGAAGAGTATGTAACATACAATGTATATCCTGTGAAATTTGATGGAGTGACCTGTATGTCTTTTTCTGAAACTCAGAGTTCATTAAGTACACAGCAATCTCCTTAAAGAAAACTAGATTGTCTGTATATATATATATATGTATAAATCCTGACGTTCAACTAAAAGTGTGGAAAAAACACCACTTTTTGTCCATGAAGATATAAGGTGAATGAGCTGATGAACTGGAAATTTTGTGCAAATGAATGAAGATTATAACTTGCATTTCATGTCTATTCATTATTTCACAGGAGTATCATTTACTATTTTTTATTTTAAAAAATAGTTCTGTGTTTCTTTTCCACATTTGTTCTGCCACTTTAGTACCACTTGCTTTATGCTGGGCTGCTAGATCTAGAGAAATGAAAATATTTTTCATGTCTACGTTACCTTTAGATTCCAGTGAATCAGAAGCATTAAATATGAGCTTAACTCCAACCTATTTTTAGCTTATAATTTTTAACTGCCATACAGTTTGGAAGACGAGAATTAGAGAAATCTCATTTCCTAAAGTCTTTCACCTTGGGAGTGCCAGAAAACACAAGTTTCACTGACCATTTTTTATGTGGTTGGAGCATTTATAACATGTGTGTCTGGTATAGATCTGCAGTATCCAGTAAGGTGAGCTCATGCCACAGTTCTTTCTTTCTGTCCCACTTTCAAATTTCTTTTTCCTACATGAATAATTTCATAAACTTAAAGGAAATTAAGTATCTTTGTAATACCTTGGCCTCTATCATACTTGGCTGAAAACAGAAAACAATCACAAATTTTAAGGGATGAAAGACAACTTCTCAAAATGGTGAAATGAGGCCATTTGCCTGGATAAAAATGTACCTTGCTAATGAGGTCATTCACATAAAAAAATGTACTCTGATGGCAGGACACAGGGAATAAATAGCTATGATGCTACCTAGGTGGCAAGTCAGAGGGACAGTTGTATCAGTTAAATCAGAAAAAAAGTTAAATGCTCCAAATGAGTAATGTTGCGGCTTCTGCTGAGCTGCCTGCCAAACCAGAGCTCACTCTCTGACAGTCACAGACTAACTGGAAAATAGCACAAACTTTATTCTTAGTTTCTAGATGCAAGCTCAGGACTCCATTATCACTCTTTGCAAAGGTTCCCCTCCTCCCTCTGTCCCTGGGCTCGCCAGTGTACAGAGCTAGAAGCTTAATTCCTATGGATGTCCCTGTCCTGCTGTGTATGATGCCACCTGTACAGGTTTCTGAGCTGCAGAGGAGCCTGCAGAGGGAGGGCTTGAAAGTGATACAAAGGATCAGAAAGGGCGAAGACTCCTGCTGGCCTTATGTGAGGGTGTCACAGGGGTAGTGAAGGAAATGTCATTCAAAAAATTACTGTGGGGGTTTCCTGGATCTTGTTTTTGGCCTTGGCCAAAGGGAGGGGTTGAATGCAAATACTACAAAATTCACTTTCCCATAAAGTGACTGAGGTTCAAAGATCTCATCTTCCATCAGGATGAGACAGGAGAAGATGGTTTCATTTCTAAATTGTTCTTTCTACATTGTTCTTGAAATCAAGGTCCATATATTCAGTTTCAGAAAACAATCTATGCTTTATTAGCAACTCTAAATCATTAAAGATCACCTAGTTCCAACCTCCTGCCGTGAGCAGGGACATCTCCTCCCATTAGAATTGGTTGCTCAGAGTCCCATTCAATCTGGCTTTGAACACTTCCAGGAATGGGATGGTGTTTCCCTTTTGGCTTCTGTTCCCTCAGGAGTCACTGGCTCATCTCTGCATGACTGCAAGTGTGCTCCAGTGAGGCCAGCACATTTCAGAGTCACCACCAGAGGACCCTCACTAGCATCCTGTCCCTCTAACCTTTTTTATATCTCATCCCACACCTTGCCAGGGACAAGCCTGATATTGTCTCTCCTCCCCAGTCACATCTCGTTTAAGGCTTTGCCAGTGAGCCCTGCTAGTTCCCAAACAAAAACTCTACCAGCATGCCAAGTGCTTAGGCCCATTCCATTGTCAAAAAAAGCCAGCATTTTGGCAGTGACACCAGCCATGTAGCTCTGTATTAATAGACTTAGCCCATCTGATTCTTCCTATGTTGCTGCCTTCAACTAGAAGTATAGAGGAGAATGTAACCTGTGCCCCAAATCAAAAGACATGTTCTTGTCTGTGAAGAAATATCATGTATAAATTATTTCCACTGAAGTAGAAAATTTTGAAGCCTGTTTCCACAATAACTAGTCTATGTGAGAGAATTTCATCCATGTTTATATATATACATTGCATGTGTATGTATACAGATGTTTGTTTACGTGTAAATGTATTTACTCATGTATATGTATAGGTATATGTATATACCTTACAATAAGGAGCTAAATAATAGTACAGTTCCTGGAGTTAGAGTGGTCTGGGTGCAGGAAGCGTTGGGTGGACAGACAGGTGATAAGTCTAGATGTAGCACTGAGCTATTTTTTATTTTTTCAGTGACTTTGTCCAGATACAGACTGTGATTTGGGCAGGATGAGATGATCAGAGTTCACCAGCTAACTTTTTTCCTCTCATTCAGAAGAGGCTTTGCATTTTAAAGAATGAATGGATTGGTTATTAATGAATCAGAAAAGGTAGCAATTTTTATAAGGTTGACTGTAGTTCATGCATGACCTACCTCAGTCATGCTGAGCTTGTCAGATCTATGCATATAAATGCAGCAGATTATAATATTGATTCCACTATGGATTCCTCTGCATAAAATTGTTCAATAAGGACTTGTGTCTCTAAGACATGCAAAGATACAAGATACTAAAACTAGTCGCTACAAATAGAAGCAAAGTTTAGCATTATACATCAATGTAGCTGAGTGCTTTCTCCTGGTCTTTTTCTTACACAAGCAAATTAAAAACTCCTTTTTTCCCCGAGATCATGATAGCTGAAATAACAAGTTTTGTGGGGTCAAAACTCTGATGTGTTGCAATAATGTGCAAGCTTTCCTTTTTGATTGTGACTGACTACTGTGTCAAAGAGGATAATTCTCCTACATCAACACTATAACTACCTCAATGAGTATTTCCTAAAGTCCACTAAAAAAAATAAAAATTAATGGGCAATATTAGATTTGAATGTTTTCAAAGTATTCATAAAATTTCACTTTGCTTGTGGCAAAAAGGATTTCCTAAAATAACTAGCATTTCATCATTTGCATCTGAAAATGCTAATTGCACAGTTCCTGTGCCATATAAGACAATGACATCTGTCAGAGAGAAATTGTCAGTCTAACTTGAAAGCTGTATAATATAAAATTTTCAATTCCATTTCTACTCCTCCTGCTTCAAAATTGTTAAAAAATATTTTTTCTTAACTTTGAATATGCCCAAAAATCAAAGTCCATTAATCATTAAACAGCATGACTTTTGACATCATGATCTTGAAAGAATTTTGAATGTTTTCCAGCTATTAAACATTACCTAGTACATTAGATAAGATTGGCCCTAAGCAATTTGTAAGTTCTTGATGAATGACAAGAGAATGAATAATGGAAAACCTCCTTCAGTATTTGAAGATCATTTGTAGGATGTTTTGAAAAAAAAAGTATGATATGGTTTTAATATTAGATTTATGCCTTGGTTGCATTTGTAATATGGGAAGATAGAAGAGAGAATTCAGTGACAAATTATTGGGTAGCAACTGTGACTCATCTAAAAATCACATTATAGCAAAAAAAAAAAAAAAAAAAGGAAAGTGATTTCACTCAGTGGTGCATACTCTCAGTTATATACTCTTATTTAGATCTTAATTTTTTCATCATACAGCATTACCTTAACCCAATACATGAAAAGCATTGACATTTCAAAAACTCTATCAACTGTTGAGTGGTTAAATCCTAACAAATGGATAAATATTGATTATTTTATGTAGAACACTCAGTATTAAGAGATTAATCCAGCAAACTGTATACACAGACTATGAATGTGATATTCAAGAGAGGTCTGAAATTCTATCTTGAGGATCCTAATTTTTTCATTTTCTTAAAAATAGCAGAAATTACTGTCCTTGCATCTAGATCAAATGCAGCGTGGGAAAGAATATATTCCTTGAGCAAACAAACTTGGACAGAACAAAAAAATGACTGATGATGTTGATCTTGGTAAGTGTGAACTTCAGATTAATTGCAGCTGCACACATAAAGAACTTTAAGAAGTCATTTCCACTCCATGCACAAAAATGACTTATATCTAATAATCAAAACCATTTAAATTATAAATTGGAGATTATAATAAATCCCTATATAATTAAAGACAGTAGAAATGCAGAAGTCCCCTGAATAAAATGCTTTGGCCCATCCAGTGTAGCTGGGCATCCTGCACTATGACCTATCTCCATCACCCCAAGCCCCATATCCCCCAACCTCTCTAGTTACACTGGCCTGAGGTGTGAGCAGGAACCTGCATTTTCACCTGCTGCCAGCACCATCCACTGCCCCAAATGGACAGTATCCAGGGTAAACAGGTTTTTTACGGTTCCTCACTCACTGCTGAAGTCTCTATATCTGACCTCTAAGAGATCAGGGATCTTCATTTCAGAGTTCAGCAGAAAAAAATCAAAACTCATAAGCCTCTACAACCAAGAAGAGCACCCAGGCTCTGAAATAGAAAATCCTGGGGGTATTTCAGTCCTGAATGACTTGCTGGAGGGCCCATATACTGCAACATTACCATCAGAGGAGAGCAGGCCTGGTGGGTTGGCTTTAGCCTGTGGGGGAATCAACCTCAAACCTAGAGAGCAGAGCTTGACTAACATTTAATTCCTTCTACACAGCCACAAATTGCTATTTCACTGATGACTGAAGAACTGACACTGAAAAAAAAAGTACATTTCCTGCACATAGAGTTTGCACAAAGTTTCAGCAAATCCAACTGCAGGTCATTTCACTCTTTACAGACTCTGATGCAGCAGCGCTGCCTTTAGGGCTACTGCTTGCACACCAAATGCCCCTGGATGAAATACAGTGCATACTACTGGTTTCTTCATTGTGGTATGTAATTTCTGTTTTCAAATATTTTGATTAAAGATCATTCCATGGTCTAATTATTTCAATAACATCATCATCTTCCAAACTTACCATACCTTGCACTGGTCCTTTGTCCATGATTTCTTCCATTATATCAGTTTCCTGAGAGGAGATGAGAGCAGCAGAAGAAAGGGCAAGGGAAGATAAAACACTTATTAAATAAAATTAAAACTCATACTAATTTGTCATTGTGTACATATATATATTATAAATACACCATTTTACTTGTATTTCTGCTAGAGCATATTTGGTTTACCAAATCAACAAATCCTTCAGGAACATGTTTAAGAAGCAATAATGCACCATGATGACTGCATAGTTTCTTTTCTATCTCTAGTTTATATAGGACCACAAAACATCAGCTTTAAAGAGAAATTGTAAAGAATTTAAACTCTTATGAGAATACAAAGACAACATAAAGGAAAAATTGCAGCTCTAGTCTTGAAGTAAAGTGAACATATTTTAATATACCAGATAATATTGAATCTCCAAAGGAGTAAAATGACTGAGACTGCAGAACACCACGCCATGAACTTACTTTTGAGGAGACCCTGTAGTGAGAGGCACATCGGTATAACCGATTGGACTTTTCTAAAGCGTTGGGACAAGGTCCATTTGTATAGTTTTTTCCATATTCACTTGACACATAACAATGATTTTCAGCTGATGGCCCCAGATGACTGTTCCAAAATGATGGATAACAAGCATAGGACACAACCCTGTCAAGATATTAAAAAAAAAAAAAAGAAAAAAAAAAGTTGATAAGAAGCTTGCCTAAACATTTTTGTCATTTTATTTCAAGCTTTTAACTATTTTGCAACTGTCATATTTCAAGTAATGCTCTTCAGAAGTGTGAATGACTCATATCTTCAACTGCCTGGCATTTACTTCAGCTCATATACATGATATTTACATTTCAATTAGAGTAGTCCTCTCCCAACCCTTCTTCAAAGAGAAATAGGGCAGAAAAAGTGGCTTAGCACTTGTCACCTAGTGCACTCATCTCATTAATGATGCATGAAAGTTCACATGGAATAAGATATAGATCTTACCAATGTTGTCAATGGGATTCATTTGGCAAAAATGTCTTATGAAATGGGTATGGAATACTGCTAGGTATTTCCAAAACAATGTACACATTTCTGTGTTAATGCCATGGAAGCTTATAAGGTGTTCTCTTTAAAGAGCATAATTAAAGAATTCAATGAAGTAGAATATTTTAAAATAGGTAGTCCTATAAAAACCATATGTATTTAAGTATCATATGTACAATCATCAGTTGTACTGAACTTTCTGAATCTGAGGAAAAGAAAACTATTTCTACACAATATGGAGTATAATTATGTTTGCCTGCATAGACTTAGTTGTCAGGAGTTTTACCAGTCAAGCCCATATATGTTTCAGCTGTTTTGAATAAGACATAGCATTTCCCCATTAGCATTTTGTGTTAGAAAAAATGACCCTGAGGAGAATGTCTTTCTGTTATCAAATTCTTTCTGCCCAAACTAGATCACACACATCCAGAAGCTTCAAAAGTAATTCAGCTTAGATGAAAAGGGATTGTCCACCTAAGGTTGTAAGGTTGCTAGGCTGTTATTGCTTAGATCTGCAACCTGCTCAATGACAAACCCTTTTAATCCCTTCTGAATATCTGAAAGTGTTTTGGATTCATAGATTTTCAATGGAGAATGGGAAGCATTTAGGCCAAACCCACAGAGGTTTTTATTACTCATTTTTACACTTTATTATGCTGTGTTTCTGCTGCTGGGTAGAACTAAGTCTTTGGTTTATATATGTACACATCTATAAATGTTTATAAAATGTATCTATCTCTACATACATAATTATTCACTTCAGCACAGATGATAGATTTCCAAAAGAAATACAGGATTGCTACTGAGTGCAATCAGGCTTGTAAGGCACGTAAGATGAGCAAATACAGTCCTCAGAGCACGATCGAGCATAGGTAGGGCAGCACTGGGTGATGGCAGCCCAGTAAAAAGAATGGTATGACACCTATCACTCAGGTGTACTTAGAAACACCTCAGAGGGAGACAACAGAGGAGAAATTCCTTCCTAGGGAAGGGATTTTTTACCCCCTCCTTTCAGTTGGATTGTCCCAGTGGACTTTCCACAGGTTCTGCATAGATGGGTCTTATTTCTATGTCAACAGAAGTGGAGCACCAAAAGATGCAGTAGCACACTGAAGTTGTGTGGTAATCCTGACATGATTACTCATTCTGAACTAACAGTCACCTTTTCACTAACTATAAATTCTGCAATTGTAACATAATTTCACAGCTTTTTTCACAGATGAAACGTGAGTTTATATGAGCTGAAGCACCAGCACAACAGTAAACTTTAAAAATACTTCAAAGTGAAGACCTTGCTGGAAGAGTCATAGAACAGAAATAGATGTATTTATGTTTATGTGCACAAATATAGATATACATATGTGAAAATAATATTAGAAACAAGCAGGATCCAAAGAGAAGCAGGAAAATTCTGTGTTACGTTCATACACTCTTAGCAGAATTCATCTGAAGTTGTGTTTATGTGTTCAATCTAATGAAAGGTTTTGTGTTTTTATTGCATTTTTATATTTGAATTGTGAGATAAAAAATAATCCAAAACATTAGACTATATTATTAGCAAGTTGGCCAAAAAAAATAACAACAATATCTTTCTCATTCCCTGCAATGGCTAAGAGCACAAGGTACAAATCAGATTAAAGTCTGATTAAAAGCAATGTTTGCATCCGTGTATAACCTTCACACTACCTGAAAATGAAACATTTCTTTCTCATTCTTGAAAAACATAACCTACTAATTTCCCTTAGTAGTTAAAATAGCTGCTTTCAAAGAACATTGATTTCTCCAAAATTATGGCTTGTAACTAAAATACCTAAAATTAATAATTAGAAACAGAATATATATTTATTCTTTAATTAAGGAAGACAGAGAGAAAGAGTGAGTTAAACAGTGTTTCAGCTCCACTTATAGCAGATTTCACTGTTAATCAGTGATTCTGAAAAGTCAGGTCTAAGCACTAGCTTAAGCACACTGAGCTTTATGGAAGTCTTCTGCTGACTACATCGGGGATAGTTTAGGCCAGCACTCCATTTTTCTGAACATCTGTCAAAAACCTGAGATAAGCACACTTCAAATTAGAACACTAGAAACTTTAAAACAGCATTGAAAGCCTGCTGTGGAAATTTACAAGCCCTCAGAGAAAATCAGTGTGTTTTCTCCCTATTGCATGGTGTGGAGATAATGAAAAAATGATTGCAATATAATGGCTCATAAAAATAAAAGTTGCCTGAAAGGGTGAGGAAGCAAGCACTATTTAACAGGTCTTGTTCAAAAGACACTTCAGACTTTTATGCCATAAATTTCCACTTTTTTCATTGTCAGAGGTAAAGGGTTATGCATTTGGGGATTTTAGCTACAAAAATTATTCAATTATCAGTCCAGTGAACCAAAAAGTTTCGTTGTTGTTGCTGATATTACTCTTGGCCATTGCCAGAGACAAAATACTGGGCTAGATGGACCCTTGCTCAGACTCAACATAACTGTTCTTGTGTTCTTCCAGTATCTGTTTTCAAAGATATTTGGATGTTCCACTTGAGATGTTAATTTGTGTCTGGAACGGTTGGAATAGAATCTGAAATATCATTTGAACTTGAGGAAAGAAAATCAGGATATAGAAACCTTTATAAAAATACCTAAGTAGAAATACTTTCTCGTGTGGTACTTTGATGGCACATCAATGACTGGGGATAAGAATGGCTACCAGGCAAATGTCTGTCATAGCACAGTGATGTTGTACACGTTAGAGTTGGCTCCATGGGGGAAAAAAAGCTTAATAAATTACTAAGGAAATAATCTTGTATTGATGAGATTTAGCGCAGATTTAGATAGTTTCCAAAAAAATTCACAATGGTTCTCAAAACTCCCCTTCAGATTCTTTACTCAGACAGCCACCTGCAAGAGCCTGGTGAATACCATGAGGCTGAGCCACAAGCAAGTACTTGGGACTGTGGAGGTGAAAAGACTGTTCACAGATGTGCTATGGTGAGCTGAGGTGCTGTGGCTGTGTGATTCCAGGCTTCTGCCTCTGCAGAACAGTCTGTGCCATTAACTACAGTGCTTAAGGTAAAAACAATACTACTTGCTGGTATAGGAAGAATCTTATTATGGCCTCATGATGGTTATGCCCATAGAGGGATAACAGTCAGAGGGAATAGAAGACTAGGAGGTTGTCCTATTGCTGCATTCTTTACAGCTTTTCCTCTAAAAATAGCTTGCTCCAACTGCTGTGGAGATAATGCTCATAAAAATTAATCTCACCTCTTCTTTTATCTACACCAGCAATTCTTGAGCTCCTGTCCTTAACAGGCAAGCACGCAGTCCAGTGAGAGAGAGCTGAAATTACTCTCCTAAGAGCATGAGCTACTGATTAAAAGGAGATTGTTCTTCTAGTTACAGAAAATTATTGCAGTTAAAAAGTGTTTACAGTTAAATGTCAAGTTAGAACTTTCATTTCTCATAAATGAAGCCTTTGCCTTTACCTCCATGAGGTGCTGAATGGCCTTTCCTGGATAGAATCACTCACCTAAAGGGTCTCCTGCTCAAAACCTAGATCAAAACTAGTTTAGGGTTTAAATTCTGAGAGAGAAAGACCAAGCAGTGCTTGATGTAAACTCTCCCCATAACTATACAAAATCTTTGTCAGATTAGAAATAGTTTGATACACTTGCAGAAAGCAGAATGATCACTTGTACACTGTGTCTATGTGAATGACAGGTCTTCATCTGTATCCCCAGGCTGCCTTGTCAACTAAGATGCATCACATCTGATGTCCTTTTGCTCTTGCCATGGTTGGTTTGTTTGTTTGTTTTTTACCTAAATTAAAAGTTGACAGAGACCACACCTGAGATCTCTCTGTCTGCCAGTTTCAGATATATTAAAGACAGAGTAAGGGATGATATTGCACGAAAACGAGAGAGGAAATTGATTTTGGTGTAGAACAGAAAGGAAAAAAAAAATTCTGGTAATGTGAAAACTAGCAGGATTTAATTATATCATATATAAAATGGAGTTATTGAAATTCTCCTAGAAGCCACTTCCAGGCATACAAATTTTAAGGAGCTGAATGAGAACAGGCAGTGCAGATTTACCGTGACAGGTAACGATGACATGATGAGATGATCTGACCATGATGAAATGACTGGTTCCGTGGAGAATAAGAAAAGCAGTAGATGTAATTTACCATGCCTTTAGCAACATTTTCAGCATGGTTTCCTGTGGTGTTCCTCTAGTTTATTGGATCAGGTGAGTTGCTTACAAGGTCAGCTGCAGACTGGCATGCTGAAAGGTTGACAGATCAAAATGACTGGTGCCTGTTTCCTAGAGGCATTCCTCAGGAATCAACACAAAAGCAACACTTTTGCATCTCTATTAACAATCTGGATAGTGGGATTTAAAGCACCCTTAGCAAGTTTGTGGAGAAAGCAAAACCAGAGGGGAGTGATTAGTATGCACAACTGCCATTCATAGCTGTGTTCATAGGCTGGAGAAATGAGCTGATAGAAATATCAAGAAGTTCAACAAAGACAGATGGCAAATCCTGCCTCTGAGCCAGAACTGCCTAGGTACTGGCAGGGCACTGCCTGTGTAGAAAGCCGTTTCACAGAAAAGGACACAAGGTCCTGAGAAACAGAAAGTTGGATATAGGTCAGCAGTGAGCCCTCTCACAAACAGGGACAACCAATATTGGGCTGTATTATCAAGAACATAGCCAAGACATTGGGAAAAATTATTTTTCCCCTCAAATTAGTACTCCACAGATAGACTAATATGTTCACTTATGTGATCTCCAGGAAATGATAAACTGAGCAAGTCCAGTGGAAGACACTTAGGGGACTGGAACTGAGACAGCTTAAACAGCTGGACTTGTTCAGTCCAGAGAAAAGAAAGCCAAAAGAGGATCTAATTCCTGTCTTCAGCTACATAAAGAGAGCTATTGAGGAGGCAGCGCAAAACTCTTGGAGATGCACAGTGAAAAGCTGAAAGGTACTAGTCATAAGTTGTATCAAGGAAAATGCTGATATAAGAAAAAAGTGTTTGACTAGGAGTGGTCAAACAAAGTGACCTGCTGCAGAAAAGGCTATGGATACATCATCCACACTCAGAATGTGTTCAGGGACATGACCTGAAAAGTCTATTCTAATTTCTTAGTCATGCTTTGAGAAGAACATTGGACTACGTGGCTTTAAAAAGTTCCAACCTAAATCATTCTGTGAGTCTATAAATGTTTATATGACATTTTAAAAAAGTATCTAGTTCTATGTGTAGAATTTGACAGCTGTTAACTGTGCTTAGTCTGACCTGAAGGAAGAAGGATCTAGGTACAGTCCTTGACAGAGTGTTGCATTCTGGAATAAACCTTGGGATGAGATGATTATAGTTTGCTTCTTAGGGAAAAAATGTTTGATTCTTTTGAATACTCCCAACAGGATCTCATGCAACTGGATGCTAACTCAAGGTTGTTTAACATGAAGAACCTGTATCCCAAAAACCACGAAAGTTTTTGAGTCCATTTACGGTATTGTCTTACTGTAACTTAAGCAACTGTTTAAAGTTAAAATAATCTAAACAGCTAGATAAAATATTTACCCGTGTGTTTTCAGATATCTCCAAGCACCATCAATACTTCCACCATTACATCCATGTTGATTCCTGGTATCACAAGAGATCAAATTCTGAGCGGAAAGGTTGTCTGTGATCTCACCCTTGGAATGAATTGTTATCCTATCTGCTGCAACACCTGTTTTGAAAGAAATTTTTTCTTTTATAAAAAACCCAAATAATTACTCACAACTTCACATTTTTCATTGTGAAAAAGGACTGAAATATGATCCCAGTATGGATATCTTCACTAAATAATAATAATGGCGAGTCTTCGCGAGCGAAGATCCGGGGAAGGTCTTTACACCTTCCAGCCTGCGCATTGGATTTTTTAGGTGAGACACAGTGTGCGCGGAACTGAGCCCACCCTTTAATCCTAAGGTTCATCTGCTGGGGCCAAGTGAGTTTGGACGGTGGCAGCGAGGTCCTCAGGACGTAGATGGGTTGCCTTTAAGGGCTAACGAGCTCCACCTGCCCGGGAGTGTCCCTGACCGGGAATCGAACCCGGGCCTCTGCAGTGACAGCGCCGTGCCCTTAACCACTAGACCACCATCTGTACATACTTTCAAGGCAGAGGGTCATGAATCTGCAAACCATCATGAGCAACTTTGCCGTGATATTACATTCCCTAGGTTTTTTACTGGTTATTTTAAAGTCCTACATATCTAAAATCAGATGAGATATTGACATAATTGAGTCTGATAGTCTCTATGAAGTTTGTAAATGCACACACTCCTATCCGGTTTTCTTCAACAGAAGATGCAAATACTTCCCCACCTCTCTGCAGCTGAGTCTCCAAATCTCTTCACTTTTTTTTATACCTTTCTTTTCTTTATTTGAGGAGGGAAGAAAAAAAAAAAAAAAAAGAAAAGGACAGTCCTTTGAAGACAAAAAATTCAAGACTGGAAATATGTATTGGTTTTATTATAAAGAATGTTCATATTAAAGTGTAAATGTAGTATTCTTTGTACTTCCCTTATCACACAAAATTTTTCTTCTGAGATAGACCTTAGATGTCTGAATTCAATCAGATAGTAATAATTCTTAGTACTTATATACTTATGCACTGATTTCTGATTTAAAGGCAGACTAGGTTAACTAAGCTGTGGTTGAAACTAAGCTACTTCTACTTTCTTTATTGAATGATGATGAAACAACCATGAAGCCCCAATCCCAGTCATTACCTGTGATTAAATTATATTTTGTTGCTTTTAGCCCCTCATTTTTGAACTTGAAAATAAATTAAAAAAAAAATCTTGAAATCTAAGGCTCCATCAAAATCAACACTAACTTTGGTGAATTTGAGGCAAGACTTCAGAAAAGTGAATCTGCTCATGGTTGGTGACAACTGTGTTTTGTGCTTTTGTGAGGTGTCACACGATAATTTATTTTCATAGGTATTAAAGTCTTCCAGTGAATAGTTTTGGAATAGTTCTAGAAATTACTCATGATAAGAAAAATTATACAGCAATGGTTTTCTATTCATTGAACAACAATTAATCTTGCAAAGAAAAATTAAAAAATTGTTAGATGCACCTAAACAACATGGGAAGGCATCTTATAATATTTAGCTTTGAAAATAATAATGTGAACTAAAATTAAAAGATTTGTTTATGAAAGGGAAAATTTAGACATAATATCTGGGAAGTCTTTCCCTCAGTGATCTCTGTACATCTCTGCAGTAATCTGTCAGTAGAGCTGTTAAAAGCTCTCTCGGTTTTCTCTTTTTTAAAACTGCAGTGGGCAGTACAGGGAAAAAAGTGTGTTCGGTCTGGCTTTTTTAGAGAACTGGAGTTAGCTGGCCTAAATGCTCCTTTCCTTCTCTTACTTTTGTGATTTAAAGAAGTAGTTGCAGAAACCTGCACTGATGAGGACCCAGTGGCCAAATTAAGTCATAAAGATTGATTGCGTAATTTTTTTTTCTCTAGCTTTCTATAACCCAATACACACTGAGATTTATTGCAAGAAAAATAGACATAGGTGATTTTTTAGCTTCTTTGGAGAAAGTGACCATTGTGTCCACTTTTCATAAAACCAAAGGTTGCAGCACATGAGGGTGAATTGCATTACTGACATTACTGACATTTGAAAGACTGTTTTTTCCACAAATATCTGAGCAGTTTCAGGGTTTTCTTCTAATAACATTTGAAAATATTATACCCAATTTATTTGAGTAGCAAGGGTTGGACACTGTTAAGTGCAGAAATATATAAATACATATAAAGAAATTGAAGCCTACCTTTTTAAGATTTCAAGTCAAGCATGTAGTTCCACAGATAAGGGATGCAGATTTTTTATGTTAAAAAAGTTACTCTACTAGTTACAATAAAGTCCATCAGTCAATTCATTTTCTACTTTCTGTCACAAAAAAATTCTCCCTGTGTTACACAATCTTAGGAAAATCAAACAAAGAGCTGCAGCTTAGATTGATTGTTTAAGAATTTGTGACAACATAGAGGGAAAGTTGTAGCAATTTCAAATATTCCTACTTGCTAATAAAAAGTGAAAAGCAAGATGAAATAGTTTAATTACTATTCACCATAAAATTTTCTTTACACATCTACCATCAGTGATACTTTTAAAGGGAGAAAAAATTCATATTACTTGCGGTTGAAAAAGCCCAGGATGCTCCACAGTTTCGTTGATCCAAAGGATCATGAATCCAGTCAGGCCACTCATAAGTGGCTGAAAAAATTGCAGGAAACTTGTCTTCTGGAAGTGACTTTCCCTAAAGCAAAATGTAGAAGATCTGTGTATGCCTCAATTCATATTTTTATATTAAATTTTATAGTAATTTTGTTTATTAAATTCTTAATTTTTAAATTGAGGAAACCTAAAGCTTTGACACCTGTGGCTTCCCGAGCAACTCTGAGGTGGTTACCCCATGGCTGGATGCTGTGGACCCCCTGAGAACAGGGGGGTTCAGGCACTCCACTAGCTGAGCTGGAAAGCTGAGCTCCATGACTACCAACCTGAATAACCTGTCCAATTTCTCTTGGATTTTTATCTCAAACGATAATTCCCTCTGCAATATGTTAAGTATGACCCAGTTGGAATTTTTGGAAAGAAAAGCCTTCTGCTATGAATAGCTGTGAAGTTCAATACCTGTTACCCTGTTCTCCTTGGTACATGGCTGTAGGTAGGGAATTTTAGTCCCTATGAGAGAGGCATTGGTACAGGGTATCATTGGTTTGTCTTTTACACAGAGGTTTTTCAATCTTCAGCACTTATTCTCACTACAGAACAAAAATCAGTGATTTTCCTTCTGGTTTGCAATCTGATGGTGAACTAATGAAAATTTGCAGTCTGCTCACTAAAGCCATTTGGCCAGCCATTTTTGGCACCTTCATCTCTTAGCCTTAATTTATGTCTACCTCCAAAGTACTCCAAGCTTTGAATAAATATTTGCATATACAAGAACCATCTGGTACAACTGCTAATAGTCTGTTCTGTGTTCAGCGTATCAGAGCCATTGACCTATATTTTTATCTGTTGAAATTTATGAAATTATTGATTTTGCTGAGAAGGAAACAGGAATGGCCACAGAAAATTGCATTATTAGTCCATTCAAATAGTTTGTCTCAAAAAATTGTTGATAGTATCAATTCCAGAGCGAAATAAAATGCACAAAATATGAAAATCTGTTCATGAGCAAAATGCTCACTGATGATTCTTTCTCATAAGCAGGCTGAAATCCTGAAGCACAATGGCTTCTATCCTGTTCAAATTCCTTTATTATTTTACTTCAATTTACTTATCTTCCAATTCTATGTATCCTTACTGCACCATTTTTCTAAAGTGCTTATGTGATTTATAAAACTACATACCTTTCACTAAGATGATTGAAACATTTGAGGCCCACTCTTTCAAACTATTTTAGAACTCTTTGAGGAAACCAATTTTACCACTTTGCCTGTATCAAGATCACTTTGTTGCACCCACTGTGTAACGGCAGTGCCTCCATCCAGCTTGTACACCTGGATTGGCCACAGAAAACCTCCAGCTGAGAAGTGTGTAAGGAAAAAGAAGCTTGTACCTCAGGTAAAATCAATCCGATATTAGATTGGGATACAGCCCCAACAGGCAGATCAATAACTCTGTGCGTATGCCCAGACCCAGTGCTTCCAGGTTCAATAAGTTAGATGCAGGCTGTGAGTCCTGAATCCATTAAAGTATACCACTGTCTAGTGGTTTACCAGCTGTCTAGTCATTTCAGTGATTTTGAAAGTTTCACCTCCACCCATAACAAGCCAGTAATTTTTTAACCCTCACTAAAATATTAATCTCGATATTTTAGTTAATACTTTCAAAAGTCTGCTTTTTAAAATGGTTTTATATACACGAGACTTGCAATATCCAGTGGCACTCAGGAAACAGCAGCTAACTTACAGAATAACTTTGTAAATTATCATCATGTTCATTTTTAGCAAGGAGGCACAAGCTCAAGATTTACTTTAAAGATAAAACATGCAGGAGAAATCCCAGACAAATAGAAATTCATTTACATGATGAGACTGCTCACTACCAACCAGCAAACAAGCAAAATTTGGTAAATGTTGTTTAGCACTCTTATGTGGGCAATGGCTGCTTAAAATGCTACAAACGAGAAAGCTGAGAAAAGCAAAATTCTAAACAGATCTTCAGTCAGTGATAATGTGTTACTTTATGTATTTCTGAACTCCTGCCAATGTATTTATTAGTCTCATGTTGTAAATCCCAGAACAAATCCCACATTAACCCTCAGCCTTGTCATTTAGAAATCCAGGACTGACCTGTAGCCAGAAACACTGGCTTTTTGGCTGAGAAATTGTTATCCTGATATTGAGAAGTGCTGCTGCTCTGTGACAAATATTATGTCTAGACCATTGTTTCTCAAGGTATGCTCCATGGACCAGCATCAGACAGCACAGAGCAATCAGAAAAATGACTGGTGAACTATTTTTAAACATTCATATGTACTCTCTGCAGTGAAGCCTTGCAGCCTGGCCAAAGCAGGAAGGTAAGTGGATATAAAAGAGCACTAGAATTTCAACTATGACTTCTTCAGAAAAGTTAGATGACCTATCAGAGAAAAAAGGCCAAAGGTAATTGAATTTGTAAATGTGGAAACAGTTTTTCTGAGGGAAAGAATTTTTTTTTTTTTCTTAATGTAGGAAATGTTCTTGCTCTATATCATTGTCTTTTAGGTATTCTAAAGTGCCACCATATTAAACTTCCCTTCCAGACATAAACATCACCTTATTGAGCAGGTATAGTTTTTTGTTAATAGCAGACCTTTTAAAAGCTCTGTGAGTAACTTCAAGAAGTTTGTGTTTTCCCTAAGATGAAATGCAGCTCTGTCACACTGTTTAATTTGAATTAACGTTATGAAGTTGTATATGCAGTTTGATATGACAGTCAAGAAACAACTAAAACATCCCTATTACACCTCCAAACTTTTCAACACTGCAGAGAATTAAGAGTGGGCTGTAGATGTGAAGTTGTTAAGACAGAAAAGCTGAACATTCTTGAATATTTTTTTTTACATGCAATTGAGTAAGGAACCCCTTCTACACAAATTTTTCAATGCTATCCCAAAAGACAGTAGAAAAGAATTAGAACAACAGGCCCTTATGTACCAGAAGCCATCTTTTTTTCATTAAATAGTAGATCAGCAGCATGCTGAAGAAATGGTTTTTATTTAAAGGGGAAAAAAAGTTGTATTTAATGAATGATAGCTATGGTTTTCTTTTTGCATTAGCTGATGATGATCAACTAAATATGTGATTTCAGGCAAATGACTTGCAGTTTTCTCACTTGCAAAATGTGAAAGACAGTAATAATCCTAGAGAATGCATGAATATTTAATTAGTACCAGTTTATCCACAGTAAGTAACTAGTACATTGACCTGCAGATGAATTAGTACTCAACAAAATCTCTTAAAGGTCAAACCATTAAGGCTTGGAAAGTGTCTCTGAAAAATATTAAAAAGTTATTATTTCTAAACGTCATCATTCATATCTCTTTTACTCCATTCTGAGTTGACACCTAGTGACAGGCGAAGTTTAACGGAAACATTTTCACCCAAACTCAATAGCTTTTGATCACTTAGGACTTTGTAAATGTGTTAGTATGCTTCACAAAATATTAGTGACAGAAAATTATTCATGGAAGGAGGAGAAGGGTCAAGAGTCTCTGAAAATTTGATAAAATACTTGTCTTAAAAAATGCCTGGAAATTAACTCTGTTTTGCCAGCTAGAAGAATCTATTGATATACACCTGGTAAGCCAAATCCATGGTTTGAAACTGCTGGATTGTGCAATGACAGTAGATATGGAGCTGCCTCTAAGTAAAGAAAACTGTAATTTTTATATTTTGTTGTGCATTATTAATATATAGCAAATTATAAGAAATTTCCTGAGGCAGCACAAGGGCACTAAAAACATTATGTTCTTCTAGATCTTCTAGAAAACTGACTCCTAGAAGGGGACAAAATCAGGGAAATTTGGAACTTCACGGTGTAATTTTGATCAAGGTGGACAATCTGTGTCCCAGCCCAATGCCTTGCCATGCTGGTGCAGGGAGCTGATATTGTGTGTGACAAAGAATGAGTCTGCATCAAGAAAAACGGTTAGGATTGCTAAAACTATTGCAGAATCCATACCTCTTCTTTCCCAAATTCCCTGCCAGTTAGTAGCTCTGCAGTGCTGTCCCCCCATGGCCTTCCATGATGTGGAACCCTTCTGCCCCAACATGTATACAAGGATCAACGATTGACTTTTAATACATAATCCAATGGCATTGCTTGTCTGAACTATATCGAAGCCAAAGATAAAAACCTGTTATATTTAATGTCTTTGTAAACCCTGTATCTATCCGTTTATACTTGCAATTTTTCTAATTTCACTATGGTGAGCTAGTTCGTTTTTCTTTTTTTAACCTGTGATTTCCATAAATTGTGTCTTCCAAAAGAGAAACTAACTGGTCCAAAGCACTGAAAAATCCACTCTGGATTTAATAACTTGCATTTTTTCTTAAAATGCTTAACCTACCTACATAATTTAAAGTATATTTGCTTTGCTGGAGAACTAATTTGAGCATAAATAAATGATAGGAAATTTAATTTAGTTGTCATGAAAATGGTCATGGCCAAAAGCTTTAAAAAGCTGGTAGCAGAGAATCACTTCATTTTGCCATGATTCCCATAATTTTTCTTTACATTTATTCAAAACCCAAAAAAGTTTTCACAGATTATGTCAAAGATTGCTGTTTAGTCTTAGCTGTTAGCCTTAATGAACTATGCCCAGATATACTTTTTTATGGTTACAGCTAAGAGTTCAATTATTAGCTAATGGAGAGGATAGTAATGGAGCCATCTTAAAGTGAACTACGATGATAATCTGATGTTAGTACAGAACTTCACAGTGGTTAGTATTTGCTTTTGCTCCTCCTTGTTCAATATTCATCAATAGGGCCAGACGCTCTATGACTTGTAGAACTATTCTGGGAACTACAACATGGGAGCATTTCATGTCAGATTCCTGAATCTTACTCTTATAATCATCCACATTTATTTTCCCTTGTGATAAAGTTATTAAAAAAGTATACATGACACTTACTGGAGCTTCTCTCATATTCAGCAAAGAATGAGATGGAGGAAAGGTGCCCAGGCGCTTTCTGAAACCTTCTTCCACTGTCATTCCCCAGAACTGACTGTAGTTCTCAGCTTTCCATCTTCCTCATAGACAAAAAACAAATAAAACCCACATTAGGGATATTCAAATTAATACATTGCTCCTTTATAATAGTACAACCAGCAAAAACATCCATTTGGAACACACTGAAATTTATTATTGGATAAGAGCTGAGTTACAGGGGAGAGCATTCTCTTTACCTGTTTCTATCATGCTTATGTATGAAGAACAAGGAGATGGGATTCATCTTGACCAAAGGAGAAGCCTCATTGCTCTTGATCTCCCTGTGGTCAGTGAAAATGCAAGCACCTGGAGAGGTCGAGTCATATCTCAGGTAGGCTTAACCACCCTGTGGCAAACCTCACTGCTCACCACTAACACGAAACTGGTCGAGGGCACCAGGTAGCTTACTTAGGTGTTTATCCTAATCCAGCTGGTTTGAACGTCTCCCATGAAGTACAAACTGTTTTGGCACTCATCACAGCTTGAAATCTGGGCAGGCTTTATTGTTGAATTTAGCACCTCAGATCACAGGGAGGCAATCCCTGTATCTCTGTCTGTAAACAGTCCCTAATTCCTGAGCACTGTCTAGGGGAAATGACACTTTTAGCAAGAAAAGCAAGCCCCACAAAGTTCTGGTATCTTGGTCCTCACTGGGCCCATCTTCTTGTCTTCCAGCGCTACCTAGAGTCCTGTTATGTAGAATAATACTATTAAGGGAGAAGAAAAAAGGACTTTATATATCTATCCCAAGTAATAAATAATGTGAAGAATAAGGGAAGATGATGTAAATTGTGTTTTGAGAGAAAAAAAAATGTTCTAAGTCTGAAGAATGTTTTAGATAGATATTTACAATAATTCTTACCAGCACGAAACTTTCAGTATCTTTCCATTTAAAACTCCATAATCTGCCAGCTATTTAGGAAAATCTCACAAATGTGCACTTACTGTCAAATTGCTGTAACGTTACTGGAGAAGGAAGGGGCAGGGACGACTGCATAACTTGTAATTTTCACATACATATAATGAGTAATACAGTGATTTATAACAAAACCTTAAAATTAAAGGGTTCTCACCCATAATCTCCAGAATTGATGCGCTGAATTAAGTCTTGGCGAACAATGCATACATCTGCTGAACATTTCCAGAGGCTGTTGAAACATTTGCTGAAAGGACAAGAATATCATTGAGCAAAAAATGAATTGTCAAAGGAGAAATGTGCACTTCAGCAGCAGAAGGGACATAAATAAAAAAACTGCAAGCAATATAATTGTCACATAGTATTTATGAAAACATAATGCCACTTCTTCCTGCTTCATTACCTAATGAATCCTAATCGGAACAAGGTGGAAAAGTTTACAGCTTGTGGAAAAGGTCATATTTGAAATATTGCTTCCTTCTTTGTGAGACAAAACCAGGGGAAAAAAAGGCAACGTCCTGTGTTGTTGATATTGAATTCCTCCAAATTGAGGTATTGAGGAAGTTTCACTCTGGAAACCCAGAAAGGAGCCATGTGGCCATAGACGACTTGCTCCAAGGACCCTGGGCTAAAGTCAGGATAGTGGGAGCCCCAGCTCTGTTTGGAGCCCCCTAGGATGCCCTGGAACTAGAGATGCAGGACTGGTGTTTGAAGTGGCAAAGCAGGGAGGTGGCTCAGGCAACTGACTGCCACAGCTGGCAGCTGAGCTCCCCTGCCTGGGCTGTCTGCTCCTGTCCCTAGGCAAGAAAGGGATGCTAAAACAGTTCACCCCTTTCCTACATAAATATACATATATATATATATATATATATATCTCCTTCCTTTATGAAAAAATATGTCTCATTACTCATGAAAAAAAAAAAAAAAAAGAAAAAAAGAAAGGACCAGTCCCACAAACTGTAAGGATTCTTTTCTTGTCTGTATTCAGGTCAATGCCAGGTATAGCCTGAAACCATTTTGACTCAGGTTTGACTGAGCAGGAACAGAATTAGGCTAGTGAGGAGGAGATTTTAATAGTCTAATATTCATATGTTGATTAGAAAGCCTGGTTTCCCTCTTGCCATTCTTCTAAGTTGGCTGTAATTTACTTTAACAAAACCTTAATATTTAGCACTGCTCTTCCAGCCATTTTGATTTGATTACATCTTTAATGTGAATTTAAGGATGCTCTGTTCCTTAATTCCTGTTTCATGACATATGCTAGATAAAATTCAATTTGCTGTTCTCTGAAACATTACCAGGAATTGCAGTTGTCTTTAATTACTGTTCCTTCTCCGTAATATCGGCCATCTTTATAACAACCTGTCAACATAACATATAGATGAGTAAAAATGACATAAAAATACTATTTGAAGTGAGTTACTCAAAACTCTTGCTACTATTGAATTAATTTGTTGTATGTAGTATGCTTGAATTATTTAGTTGAAAGTCAGAAATATCTATTTCCAGTTTCTTCCAAGGAATGAAGGCAGGTGAATATATTTTAATTTTTTACCAAATATGTTATCATTCATAGTAAATAAAATCAGCATCAGATTTGAAACACCCACTGAAAAATTTACCATCTTACATGTAAATAAAAAAATAATTCACCACATAAAGTTATTTTCCAGTAATAAAAAGAAAATATTTCTAATAAAAAATATTTTCTATTTGGCAACCGAAGTATAAATAAGTTTTTCCAGTATAGAATTTAAAAACGTAGTGAATATTCCAAACCTATTGTAATATACTTTTTCCTTGCCATAATAACTCCTCTTTGAAAAACAGATGGATCAATTATATTTCAAGGCAAATGTATGTTTCAAACACTCTCCAAAAGCCAGTATAAAACCTAAACTGAGTGATGATTTTTCCAAACAAATATGTCCTTTGTATTTCTTTTGTTTGATAACACTTCACTGAGAAAAGTTTCTGTGTGCATTTTAAGGTCTTCCACATAAACTGTTTAATCAGTGCATTTGATTGTCAAGTTTCAATAAAAGAAAGATTCAGAATGCCTGCAGAGGACTTTAGATTGAGTCAATAACAAACATTATACATTTATCACATGGGTCTTTGTTTTCCAGCCCGTTCTGAAAGGTGAACATGCAGAGATCATGTTCCCTCCGCCACTGGGGGGGATGGGAGTCACAACCCCCAAGTTCTCCTTTCTTCTCCATTTTCAAGAGGGTTAAACTGTAAGGTAGTGTTGACTTGCAAATTTGGATAGTATCACGCTGTTTTTCCCACCATGTGTAAGGAAAGCCATCGCCCTCTCATGGCAAGGGCTGGAATTTGTCTGCCCAGACACACACACATATGTTTGCTTCACTGGTAGGAGACAAATGTGCGCTCTAAGTCCCACTTAGTTTTATAACAATGTGCAGAAGTAGACTAGATTTGATGAATTAACTCTAAGTGTCTTTCTTTCCCTATTGGTAATTCAGCAGGCTACGGTAGCTAGCACAGGCAGAGGTGAAATAAATCCCACCTAAGCAGTCTGAGGCCCAAAGTATCTGCTCTAATTCAATTTCAGCTAAGATCGGAGATATTTTTCAGAGAATACTCAAAGCAAGTTACAGAAGTGTCAGTTTGTCACAGTCTGCCACGAAGTCAGCATCAGACAGTAGCTGGAAGGAGGCCTCAAGCAAGATATTTCAAAAATACAGAGGAAAGGAAGTATTTATGCAGCATCTGAGTGACAGGACAGAGCCTCACTAGAGCTCTGCTGGCAGGGCTCACCACCCATGCCCAAGATAAGATGCAAATCTGGACTACTATAGAAGCAGCTTTCTAATGATGTATGCTTAGGGAATTGAAGATTAACACCATGCAATTTCTTTAGCCTAGTCAAATTAATATTTAGAAGGCCAGGAGTGCTGCCTGCAGAGTCAGTGGCAGAGAGTAGAGATATCTAAGCTAAAAGACATATGAAAACACATCAACATTGTCTGGCCCTGAACATTTTATTTGGGAATATTAATATATTAAGTGGGAAATTAATTAATTTGAATATAGCTTAATGACTTTGTGAATAGGATTTTATGATGTGAAAATCATGACTGAAAAGAAGAGCATTTGATTAACAGTGACTTGCTTCCCAGTCCAGCATTCTGATAACATTACAGCTCTTACTACATTTGCCTCCAATACTGATGTGAGCAATTCTGTCAGGGAAATGTCTTCAGGTTTACTCCCTCAAAGGCCAGATCCTGACTTTCACGTTACAGTGATTACCAAACTCTCTGGATGTAACTTCTACACCATTGACAGGGTGAGTCCCAGAGTGTGGGTTCTGACAGGGGTTTTTTGTACCATCAGAATAATTGAAACAGAAAGACAAAATAACTGATAAGTACAGTCCAGAGATAAAACTCAACTTAGTTCTTCTAAGAGCAAACAATAAAATACTGCTAATAAAAAAATCCTGAACTTCTATTTGGTATCTAAGGCAGGAATGTGCACTTTCTTCTGAAACTACACATGAAAACCATTGAAACATACTGAACTATGGGTTCATAAAGGCAAAGTCAAAGCAGTTCTAGATAGTTAAATCAAGACTAGCCCTCAGCATGGTGCATGCCCATGGAAGAAGTCACAGTGTAGCTTGTTTCTACCATACACAAAGTTACTGAATATGTGGGTATCCAGAAATAAAGCACTGAGTAATTTTATTGCTGTACATTCCAGCCCATGTAAAACACTTTAGTTTATTGTTTTATTTAAAGAAATATGACTCAGGAAGCACTGATAGCAAAACCACAGGCAACCAAAAGATCAAAATCTTCCAGGTAAAAAGTACTTTGGCATATATGGTCTTCAAGTGCTTAAATAATTCTTAGCCTACGGCAGATATGTAGTCTCAATTGCTAAAAGCCGGATAATATACTTAAGTAATTTCTACATATGTTTCCTAACTTGCTTAATCTTCAGGCATTCAGTCCTTTTTGTTTCTCCTTCTTTTTGTTCCAATTTTTCAGACATTCTTGTTCTAGAAAATTCCTTTAGAGTTGGTTTTGTTTGTTGCTTTTTTTCTTGCTGTATTTTGGCTTTATTATTCTCATTTTACCCTCTAAATTATGTACATAATGAATATCCAACAAACAGATTTTAAAAAAACACAGACTTTCAATCAGAAAAACTGCATTTTTTATTTTCTGAGATGACATATAATGTAATGCTATAACATCATCTATAGGACAAATAAAGGAGGTTGAATAAATATAATTTTTACCTCTGGCAGGTATGTACAGCCCAGGAGTTACAAAACAGTGAGCACAAATGCAAAAAACTGGATTAAGAAAGCAGTAAAAGTATTAAACCTCACCTATTGCCTTATCTAAACCTTCTGTTACACTTCTACCTTTGAAAGGTAGACTTATGGCAGCACCCACATGACAAACTGCTGCAGTGATTCAATTCCATGAGACAGTTTGCCAAAGGAGACTTGCAGGCTGTCGACTCTGGAGCAGAAATGCAGCTACATATTTATGTAGAATTTATCTACAACCCCATGATCTGTTCAAAATAATATACACAACTGCATCAAGCAAATATGAAACAAATGTCTTAATTTACATAGAATCACAGAATGTTCTTTGAGATAGTTAGAAACTCTTTGGAAAATAATTTTTTTTACAGCATTCCTGTCACTCCCACTTATCACATTTTGGTTGCAGATTTATGCCTGTCTAAGAGCATAGCCTCTTGTAGAATGCTGGAATGCAAGCAGCAAAATTATTGCACAGAAATAATTAATATTAAAATATCATGGTAGTATTTTTTAATTTATTTTAGACTTCTGAAGTTTTGGTACATTTTTTAGCCAGATTTGGTTTACTGACAGTAAGAAGCTACATAGTCTTAAAATCCACAATACTAGATTTTGCTCACCAGCAGAGATTTGGCCTATACGGGAGCCAAGGAAGGACTAGCTGTCTGCAGATCATTGTTTTTCAATCTCTTGTTTTAAAAACAATTAGACTCAGTTTAGACTAGTCCTGGAGGAACTCACAGTGCAAACCAATTAGTAAGGAACTGACTAGTATGTCAGAAATCCTTGTTCTAACCATATCCCTTAAATTACTCCTTCGCCTGAGCTGTTGCAGGGAAAATAGTGTCCTACAGGAAAGCTATGCTGGATCAAAACCATTGCAGAATACCTCAGAGCAGTATCATTCAGGATAACCTCAGTCTTCTTGACAATTTGTTTATACTGATGGATGCAAATATTTAGAGCTTGCTGTTCATTTCATTTTTATCTGTGAAGCTCTATTGAAGTTGTTGAGATTACACTGATTTTGACCCATGAGGTTATTCTCTCAGAAGTTTCAAGTAAACCAGAGGTTCTGCCCAAGAGAAATATAATGAAACCAATGCTAAAAATATGTCTCCAGAGACAAAGAAGTAACAGCAAGTACAATTCTTAGTCCAGTTTCATACTTTGTCCACTATGTCTTTAGCAACAATTTGAGGATGTATACAATCTAAAGGTTAATCAGTAATTCTACTTCCATGTATATTTTCATCGTGATGCACTAAAGCCAACTGAGTATTTTCTTTCTACCCACCTGATGCTGGAGGTGGCCAAGGCTCATCTGACCAGGTGGGCACAACAGGATGGTCGCAAACATCCCAATAGTCAGCACAACAGTCCACAGGGCCAGGAGAACCTGAGGTGCAGTACTGGTCACAGTAACATACAGCTGCTTTGGAGACGATATTAAAGCTGCACTCATCATCTCTTCCTGTGCAACAGCCTCGTACCCTGCAGGACCTTCCCTGATACAGATTCCTTTTAATCCTGTTCCACTTTGCAAAACCGCCATCTTCTACAGAGTAAAGTCCTCTCGGAAATTTTCTTTTAGAGTCCAGCTGCTTTGCCATAGAAACTTCACTTGCAACGCAATATAAGAGCAATATCTGAATTTTGAGCCACATTCTTGTGCTTCTAGCAGTCTTTTTTGAGGCTCGTTGTCCTTCACTTTATAATCAAATGTTCATTCACTGTAGTGCAGTACCTTCAGTTACCGATCAGAAAAAAATCTGAACAGAAAGCTGCAGACTGTGGTTTTCTAGGAACATTCCATATGTGTTAATTATTAGTCAGATATGTTGTAAACTGATTTATTTGACCAAGATAGAGAGATACTTGAAACAGAGCCATAACTATGTATTCATCATTATGAAATGTTGCGTGCATTCTCTTGCAAATGAGTAAGTTTACAGTAAAGTTTCAGAATATACCAAATATACATTCTATTTTCATTCTATACTTTAAACTCCTAAAATCAAAACAGGGTGAGCAATGAGTACATGGTGTCAAAGTGTCGTGGTTTTGCCCATCAGCCCATCCCTGGGGCTGAGGATGGTTTTGTCCAGGTGATTTCCGGACAAAAAAACCAATCAAAAAAAGTTCAGTGACGCCTTTGCTAATTACATCTTTAAGAAAATGGAAGAGAAGGTTGTGGCGCAGTTGAAATTAGGAACAGCAGCCATGTAGAAGGGTAGCGGGCCCGAGGAGGGCCAAGGCCCCCTCCTCCCCGGCTTGGGCCGGGAGGGCAGGTGTAGTACTGAAACCTCCCTTCTCTCTTGTGAGAGAGTGAAGAAAAAAAAGGTTTAAAAGACGAACTGCTTAGACGAGAAACCGCTGCAGAAGAATTCCAGCCATGAGATAACAGGACTTTCAAGGTCAAAGCTGCAGTCGCAGGAGAGAGAAGAAAAGTTCGAAGGGGGGAGAGCTGTTTTTTCTCCCTTTCGCTCTCCCTCCCTTCAGCAGGGTAAAGACTGAAAAATAAAACTCTGCCACCTGTGAAAATTTGTTGGGGTGAAGAGACCCCCCGTGCGGCTCACAGAGGAGCTTGTGGATGTACCAGAGATTTGTGACTTTAACAGAGAAAACCTTATGCTGGAGTAAAAGCGACTCAGATGAGGCAGAGTCCTGTTAAAGACTTTGTGACCCTCGAAGGGATCGATGCTTATGCTGGAGCGAGACGACTCAGATAAGCTTGGGATCTCAGTGAGAGATCCATGCTGCTGCTGTTGAAGATTTATGACCCTGACGGGTATTAGAACCTACGCTGGAACACAAAACGGTTCAGGTAGGGATGTTGGGATCCATGTGTGGGATCCGTGCTGCTGGTGCTAGAGAGAACTTACGCTGGAGCAAAAAATGGCTCAGGTGGGATATTGGGATCCGAGTAAGGGATCTAGACTAGACCCATGCCGAGAAGTCAATCAAGGACTGTTCTCCCATGGGAAGGGACCTCCATAGGGAAACAGGGGTGAACTCTTAAACCATTATCCCCTGTAACCCTGTGGAAGAAGATCCATAGTAAGCAAGTGTCCCCTTGCAAGTCTATGGAAGGAGACCCTTCAGGACCTGGGTAACCCTCAGCCTTCGGTTTTAACCCAGGAGGGGGGTAGGCCCAGCCCTGGAGGCCAACACAGAATAAGAGAGAGATAAAAAAGTTCCAACTGCGACGAAAGTGCTACAGAGTTACTAGAGAGAGAGAGAGAGAGAGTTGGAATTCTGAGAACAGAAAAAGACTGCTTCTCCTCCTTGGACTGATATAAAGGGAAGTGGGGGGAGAAGTATCTTTTGTAAATACATAGTACCTTTTACTCAAGTAGAATTGTTGTAAATATAATTCTTTAGTTTTAGTTTGTTAACAATAAATACTCATACTTTTTTTTTCAATTCAGTCTCTTTTTGTCTGCATAAACCTTCTCTCAACTAATAGTAATTGTATGTGGGGGTATAAAAGTAAATTGAACCAGGGCAAAACCACGACACAAAGGAAACTCTCTTTCTTTTCATGTACCTATAACCAACATATTTTCCATAGGACTATAAACTCTTTAACACTTAGATTGCATTTTATCTACATTTTCCTTTCTGATAAGTAGGGTTACATCAGTGTAGTAAACTTACCCTGCATCCCCTGCATCTAGCTTAGCCTTATATACTTCACTTTGCATTGTTTTGCTATGGGCAAATTAAAAAAAAAAATCGGGTGATATTCAGTATAAACCATTTCCCAAAAGTATTCTTTTAAGGTTTGCATTTCTTTAGTCAAAATGAACTGGCAATCATTCGAAATAATGTAATAAATACTCACCAAGGGGTGTTCATTCTTATTTAAAAAGGAAATGGTTGTATTAATAAAACTGCAAAGAAAACCAGAGCAGATATCAAGGATAAGTCTAATGGCCTTTACTACTTGATCTGTGATCTCCAGGTTTTTGAACAGTGGCCTAAAGAAATATACATGGTACTGTTGCCAAAACTTAAAAGAGTCAGAAAAAAGCAGCAAAGAACTTTGAAGTTTCAAGCAGAGGTATCACATAAGGCTAAATAAAAAAAAAAATAATAAAAAAAACCACCACATTGTTTCAAATCTGAACTGTTACAAGACAATTTAAGTCTACAAAGCTGAACAAGCATAGATAAAAACAGTCATCCTTCTGCCTCCATTTTTTAGTAAGTGAGAGGAACCCAGAGATGCTGATGGCAGGCTCTTTTCTAGGGAACAAGTGGGATTTTTCCCTTTGTGACTTCAGCTGGACTGCTCAGGAAGACATCAAAGGGGAGTTGCTTTTGAAAGCACAGTGGTGTGGATGCCTTGCCATGAACAGCAGAGACATTAAGAGGAAATTATGTGTGTGTGTGTTTATATATATGGGCTTGCAATCCAAATGTTCAAGACTTTGATACAATTTCTTGCCAGCATTGCTTTTACTGGACCTGCCTCCCACACTGTCTCCATCACAACTAAGAAACTGCAGATGGGGGAAAATTACATCCAATCACACAATTTTTATTTTGCTCTGTTTATTTTGCAATCTTCGCTGGGAAAGTTAATAGAAAGGCCAAGGTCAACAGAAGGCAATCACTGTACATCACATTAATAGTACCTAAGTCTTGGCCTTCAAATTTGCTCTGCATTTTTTTTTATTAAGTTTTGTTTATACCAGAAATCTGGACAATGTTAATTCTGCCACTGACTGCTAAAATGTGACAAATATGATGTAAGAAAAATGAGAAAGGACACGTTCATGGAAACAGTGAAATGCTCACTTAAATTTATAATCCATTTCTTTTCCTTACGTTTATGCAGCTCCATCAGTTCCAACAGAATGACTTCTGATTTGCACTGACATTAGCAAAAGGCAAATCTCCTTTATATTACAGATCTTCAGAAATATTTTTACAGAGTTATCTCATTGCTCTGGAAGCATAAGACAGAAAAAAAGCTAACACGTGGTTAAAGTTGTCCACCAGTCAGAATAAGTGAACAGGCATATCTGTGTTTTCAACTTTGAAGACTTGCTGATGACAAAACCGAGGCAAGGAATTTGCTGGAAAATTCATGAGCTCATTTACACAGGAGTAAAATTTCTTTTAAAGGGATGCAAAAATGTAACTTGTGCTTCTAAGTAGCTTTGTTTAGGGACATGAGATTGTGCAGCAACTTGATAAAATCAATTTTTCACAGTTGCCGGCATGTGTTAAAACCTTTAAAAAATCTCACAAAACTATTCTATTGTGGTTCCTCTGTAAGCAAAAGCAGTTCTGTCTCCACTGTCTGAAAGCATGTCCTGACTTGACTTTAACAATTTAGTAAAAGTTAAACGTGATCCTTTTCCTCTATTGAAGATTAACATATTCCAAACATAATAGCTCTCCTAATCTTCTGAGTTGAGGTCCTAGTCCTACTTCTAGTCAGCAGAGATAAGTGCAAAAATATCTATCTTGTACCTGTTTCAGCACTCCTTGATGTTTGACCTTGAGTTTCAAAAAACACCAAACATTTGGCAGGAGTTCAAAGATAACACCGCTAAACCATGTCCTCAAGTACCACATCCACACACCTACTGAACACTTCCAGAGATGGTGATTCCATCGCCTTCCTCAGCAGCCTATTTTAATGCCTGCCCACCCTTTCAGTGAAGAATTTTTTTCCTAATATCCAATCTAAACCTTCCGTGGTGCAACTTGAAATCATTTCTTCTCCTGTCTCTTGTTACCTCTGAGAAGAGACCAATCCCCACCTCGCTCCTTTCAAGTAGTTGTAGAGAGCAACAGGGTCCTCCCTGAGCCTCCTTTTCTCTAGGCTAAACAACACCAGCTTCCTCAGCCACTCCTCTTAATTCTGTGTCTTAATCCTCATAACTGGCTGATCCTCAGTGCTGTTGAGTTGCCATTTTCTTACTTCCTGCTTTTAATGATTGTTTTTATACCATAAGGTACAGATTTACTTTTTTCCTTTTGCAGCCCAGAGTTGCTATTGCTACCCTTTTAACAAAATCCTTCTCTCTGTGCTTTCACTTTTCTTATTTTGCATAGCGTTAGCTTGTGAACTTCCTGATATTTAAGCAATTTTCTCATTAAAACTGAGTCAAGGTCACAGAGCTGTGCCACAACAAACCAGACTTTGGATGGCAGCCAGTTGAACCCTGGGGCTAATGGGTGTCCTTATTCTGATGCAACAACCAAATTTTCTCAAGTAATAAATTCTGCTTCTCCTTCTCCTTCCCATGTCGCATTCTATATCACTGTCCAAATATATCCCTTGTGCTAAACATATCTCCCTTCTGACCACTTGGGACAACTTTAATAAATCACTTTTTCACTAGCTTAAGTTGCAGCATGTAGCAACAACAGAATCACCACAAGCATGCACAGGGTGGGGTGAACACGGTGTATCAGACTGTGAGAGCGGATGAGGTAAAAAGCTAACCATAAGCCCTCACTAAACATAAGCAGTCATTGTTATCCTGACAGAAATGTGTATTTTACCATAAAATAATGAATAAAAGCAGGGTAAAGGCAGAGAAACGTGGACTAAATATATTACACTATTGAATAAGTAGCATCCATTAATTTTCTAGTACTCCTGAAAAAGCGATCACTTTCATGTTTTGCTCTTTATAATCTCTCCTTAAAGAATTTTTTCCCTCTTAATACTTTTTTCTTTATTTTTACAAGATAGACTTCCTAGACTGTAATTGCCAATATAATCTCATTTTTCATTCATAGATGAAAGCTGTTTGAACAGAGAGCAAAACTGATTTTTAAAGTATGCAGAGTTGAACAAACTCAAAAATCCAGAGGTCAAAAAGAGGATTTCTCCTTTGTCCTTTCTCTAATTCCAGCAGTTCTTTCCCTTGCTTGTGTTCCTTTCACCTGTGGGCTTCAGTCTATCACCTAGGTAAATTTAAACCTAAACCTAAACCATACCAGGTGAATGATTCTCTTAGTTAGACACACTAGAATGGATCTGGGCTCTACAAAAATGAAATTCAAAAGGAAAATAAATTTGTGTTTGGAACAAATTCAGAACAAAGCAAATGCCTCAAAAAAAAAATGGGCAGAAAAGCACACTAAGACCCTTCAGACTCACACACAGATTGGCTCTAAATATGAATTTTGCCCACTTCAGTGATTTACTGAAACCAAGAAATACTATTAGGTCTTTGGTGGGTAGGTCTATTACAGTATTTTTAACACATTTACAGTTATAGATGCATTTATATGTATGAATTTATATCTATTTTTTTTAAGTTTTCAATCCTTTTGGTTGTATTTTTATGTGTTGATTTCTGTCCCCACAAACTCCCTCCTGAACTCACTGATATGCTTTTCTCAATTTTTTTCCCACCATCTGGTCAATAGGTATGTTATTCACAAGGTGTAGACACTTAACTTCTATTATTTTTCTACTGAGAAAAGAAACTAAACAAACACCCTACCCTTATATGTGTATCAATCTGTTCACAATATTATGAATGATGCACATGCTCCTGTATCATGGGAAAAAAACAAGTGTATTGCCCACAGAGAGAGACTTACTGGTTGCAGACCTTTTCTTCTGTTTTCACAGTTCCAGAATCCAACAGCTAAAAAAGCAGGATTGAAGTTACACCAGGTCCAATAGTGCAAAAAGCTGAGTAGCCTAAGCTGTTTTTAATTTTAATGTTTTAACTGATAGTAGTATTTCATAAATAATCACATTAATTTTAATAAAAGCAGCAGCAGTTCTCATTAAAATATTAGTCTTAGCCAGAATGTATCAGGAGGTAAAATGCTCCTGCACACCAGGAGAGGGCTGAGCACACACATATCTGAGGGTGATTTGTGGTTCAAAGGACTAAGAGACTGGGGAGAAGGCAATTAACTCATGCAAGCATAGACAATCAGTTCCTTAGACTTTTATAGTGCATTTAGGAAGCAAACTGTTTAAGATACAGGCTTGGAGAACATCGTATGGAAGCAGCACAGAATCAAAAACATAGGAGCGTAAAGTGGAGAAGAAAGTAGTGTTTCTTCCTCATGCTGCAGTAATTCTGCCTGCACTCAGCAACTGGCACAGACCCTGCTGGCCAAAAGGGCTATAAATATGCATGGCAAGGAAAAAATCACTGTTCATGCTGACTGCTGTGAGTGCTGGCACAAATGTGAATAGTACTTGGTCTACTTCACAAAATCCAAGTGCCTGTGTGGTGTCAAAATGTAAAATGCTGGCATTCATTCTCAGCTGTTCAAAATACATGAAGTTAGATTTACAGGAGTAAAAACAAAAACCACAAAAAACACTTTGCAACAAAAATACAGCTTTATTTAATTTCAACATTTATATTATTTCTAAATAAAATATGCTGTGTTATATTGGGTATCTCTTAAAACGGCAAGCATTTCAAGAAATGGTATATTCAACTGTGTAGCTCTGGAGTTAATTAGCTAGTGTTTAAGATTATCTCTTGAAAGAATATTTGATTGTTATTAGTGCTTTACAATTATCATATTGGAAACAATTTTTTTTTTATGGTACTTTAAATAAGATTTGTGGTGTGGATTCCTTCTCAGTATAGAAAGAGGCCTCAAAATGCAGTTTCAGCTCTTGATCCTAATTTGGGGCTGCAAAAGAAGAGTTTTTGCATGAATACAAATGGTCAAAAATAAAGATTAGTAAGATGTGTAACACGCATTGAGGTCACTTAGTTTTTCTCATTTATACAACCTGATGATATAGCTAACAAGAGGAACTCATAGTTTCATGGAAAAAAAACCAACCCTAAAGATATATTCAGCCACCTCATTTGTGCTATAGCTGTGGGAGCAGATAGAGCTGCAGACCAGATCTAGGGTTTGCCCGTCTTTGCAGCAGCCAGAGGCAGACTACTTTTAAGACTTAAATTTTCACAGAGCTGTAACTGTTCAAATTCAAACTAAATCTCTCTCCCTGAAATTTAGGCACATTTCTCTTTCTCCTACTCTCAGGAAAGACAGAGAAGTGACTAATATCCCTTTATAAACGTCCATTATGAAGAGACACAAACTGCTCTACTTCTACGCTGTCCTTATTTCTTTTCATCTGTGTGAGGACACAGACACCTTTACATCTCTTCTAAATCTCCTATTTGTTTCCTACATCCCATGTAACTGATTTTTCACTAATACTGAACAGACATGAGTAACTGCCTTTATCATATTATAAGTACTCTCTTCAACATCTCCCTGGAATGGCATTTTTTGTAAGAATATCACCTCTTCCACTCATATTCAATTTGTCCTCCCCTACAATCCTCAGTTTCTCACCTGCAGTAACACTGTCATGCCTTTGCTATCTGTACTCTTCATATTTTTTTGTACTTGTCTTCAGTGAATTTTATTGTATTTATTTCAAGCCCTTCTTGTAAGTGACATTTTTTAAATTAAAATCCTGCCTTCCAAGCTGCTTGCAAGTCCTCCCAAATGGGCATTAGCTGCAAATTGGGTAATCCTACTGTCCATGTGCTGGAGCAAGTAACTAATGGCAAAGTTTTATAGTGAAGACATATAGTTTTATATAGAACACAGCATTCTGGAAAGGTGTGAGATGTTCTCCCTCTGGCAGCAAATAACTCTTCTCAGAGTCCAGCTTTCCAATCAGTTATGTATCCACCTTACGTGAATTTAATTTAGTCCATATCTGCTTTGCTGGCTTATGAATGTCGTGTGGGACTGTGTATAAAACACATCCCTGTATCTGCTTTGCTGTCACAGAAGGAAATGAGATCAACTTGATATGATTTGTTTCTGACGTGTCTGGGTACAAGTAATCTTATCTCCTTACCATTCTCTAGATGCCTACAAATCTGTTATTAACAATTTGTTCCAGTGTCTTGGAAATGCTGATAGAACTGACTTTTCAGTAATTATTTATATTTTTCTTTCCTCTTTTGTTTAGATAGGACATGGTGTTAGCCTTTCTCCAGTTTTCTGGGAACTTACTCATCGTGCCTACCACTAGTGTTTGAGAAATTGCTTTGATTAAGTATTTTAAGGGTAAGTTTCATTAGGCTGTACCATACTGAATATTCCTGAATACTCCAATTTACCCCAGCATTCCTTCAGTTGTTATTTTCCATTTCTCTCCATGATTCTACTCTCAAATTCTTATTAATAATTTAAATAAACTTTTAGTTATAATTACTCTTTTTTTTTCTTTTTTTTTTTTTTGGTGAAGACTGAAACAAGTAAACAAACAAAAAAAAGGCATTGAACCTTTCAGCCTTTTCAGTATCACCTGTTTGGTGACCTCCCTTGTTAAATACTAAATTATATCTGCTCTCAAGCATAGCACATTATTTGTAATATGGTATTGTTTAACTATAGTAAACCATTCATTCTAATGGCACTATGTGATTATGTGCTCAAATATAAACAGAAAAATCATCTTATTTCCCTGACATCACTTTACTATCCACTTCCAGACCATACTTCCATCTCTTCCAACTTTTTGTTTGTATTCCACTTAAAATTAATCCAATTACGATTTTATTCTGTAATGTTAATAATTGGAATTATTCTGCCTTGGTAAGTATTCATAGAAAATCCTTCATCAAACATAGCCATCTTATTATCCAAACACTAAACTATGCAGCTAAAGCACCCTACCATCTTTTTAATCAAAGCCATAAAAATTTGTTAAAGTGACACCAAAGTAGTTACATATTCAAATTGTGACTGTAATCAAGTTCGAAAAAAGTAATACTCACCCATCAGAGCTAAACAGAACCTCTTTCTTTGGAAACCTATAGAAAAATGAAAATAAAAGGTGAAAACAAAGTGGAGAGGAGAATAAAAACTGCAGTATGTTAAGCTGGCACAGGTGTAAAAACCAGCTGACACCTTCATACAGTACTTTCTGTTTTTTTAATGCACTAGTTTGCTGCACTGTTAGCTTACAACTGTGTTTACTGAACCAGGGAATGATGTTTCATAGAATCATAGAATCAAATGGTTCGGAAGGGACCTCTGAGATCATCAAGTCCCACCCTGGATCTAGTAACCACCACTATTACTAGACTATAGCACTAAGTGCCACATCCAGTCTCTTCTTAAATACCTCCAGGGACGGTGAATCCACCACTTTTCTGGGCAGTCCATTCCAATGCCTGATTACCCTCTCTGTAAAGAATTTCTTCCTGACATCTAACCTAAACCTTCCCTGGCAGAGCTTGAGACCATGCCCTCTTGTCTTACTGATAGCTGCCTGGGAAAAGAGACCAACTCCCACCTGGCTACAACCTCCTCTCAGGTAGTTGTAGAAAACAATGAGATCTCCCCTAAGCCTTCTCTTCTCCAGGTTAAACAACCCCAGCTCCCTCAGCCTCTCCTCATAAGATTTGTGTTCAAGTCCCTTCACCAGTCTGGTTGCTCTTCTCTGGACCTGCTCCAGCATCTCAATATCCTTCCTAAACTGAGGGGCCCAGAACTGGACACAGCACTCCAGGTGTGGCCTCACCAGTGCTGAGTACAGGGGAAGGATCCCTTCCCTACTCCTACTGGCCACACTGTTCCTGATCCCAGCCAGGATGCCATTGGCCTTCTTGGCCACCTGGGCACACTGCTGGCTCATGTTCAGCTTCCTGTCAATCCAAACTCCCAGGTCCCTTTCAGCCTGGCTGCTCTCCAGCCACTCTGCCCCCATCCTGTAGTGCTGCGTGGAGTTGTTGTGGCCAAAGTGCAGGACCCGGCACTTGGCCTTGTGGAACCTCATCCCGTTGGAATCAGCCCAACTCTCCAGTGTGTCCAGGTCCCTCTGTAGAGCCCTCCTGCCTTCCAGCTGATCAACACTTCCCCCCCAACCAGCTTGGTGTCATCTGCAAATTTGCTAATGGTACACTCGATCCCCTCATCCAGATCATCAATAAAGATGTTAAACAGGACTGGGCCCAGCACTGATCCCTGGGGGACACCACTGGTGACCGGCCGCCAGCTGGATGCAGCCCCGTTCACCAGCACTCTCTGGGCCCGGCCCTCCAGCCAGTTCTTAACCCAGCATAGAGTGCCCCTGTCCAAGCTGTGGGTTACCAGCTTTTCCAGGAGTATATTATGGGAGACAGTGTCAAAGGCTTTGCTGAAGTCCAGACAGACACATCCACAGCCTTCCCCTCATCCACCAGGTGGGTCACCTGATCATAAAAGGAGATCAGGTTGGTCAGACAGGACCTGCCTCTCCTAAACCCATGCTGGCTGGCTCTGATCCCTTGTCCATCCTGTAGGTGCTGTGTGATTGCACTCAGGATGATCTGCTCCATAACCTTGCCAGGCGCTGAGGTCAGGCTGACAGGCCTGTAGTTTCCCAGGTCCTCCTTCCGGCCCTTTTTGTGGATTGGCATGACATTTGCCAACTTCCAATCATCTGGGACCTCCTCAGAGAGCCAGGACTGTCAGTAATTGATGGAGATGCATTGACATGTTTGAGGAAGTCTATTGCATGCAGCAGATTTCAATAGACAAGCATTGCCTTGACTAAATGCACTTCAGAGGACATTCCAGACTCATGCTTTTTTGAACCTCCTGCTGGGAGGACAGAGTACGTGGCCACCCTTGCATTCACATGACATGAGAGTTATTTTCCTCCAGTTTAGTAAGGATTTTTCCACAGTCACCTAGAATCTCAAAGTGAGGAGCAGGGTATGCTACAGAGTGGACGAGTAACTGGCTGGGACACTGGTCTAAAAAGATAGCGGTTCAAAATCTCTATTTCAGGTGGTGTTTCAGAGGATGCTAGGGTGACATCTCCATCAAGGTTCTGAAGATCCTACATGTCCAGGACGTCTGTGAATGTTCCTAACTTGGATAGGCAAGAGAAACTGATATACCAAGGGTATGATTTGCATTCTGAAGGACTTTTCCAAACTGGAGGACTTTTCCAGACTGGATGAATGGGCTAGCAGGAGATTTGTGAACAAAGGCAAACACAAAATCCTGCACCTGGCAGGGGACAAGGAGGAGATGGGGACAAGGAGGGACGGAGGAAGTGAATAACCCATGCAGTGGTACAGGCCAGTGACTGGCTGGGTAGCAGCTCTGCCAAGAAGCACATGAGGTCTAGGCAACACCAAACTGAATGTGTTTCAGTCCATCCTTGTGGTGAAGGATAATTTCATACCCAGCTGCATTAATTAGAGCATAGCCAGCAGGTTGAGGGAAGTTATTCCCCTCTGCTGGGCACTAGTGAAGCTGCATCTGAAACACAGTTTCCATTTTTAAGCATTCCCAATAAAAAAGAGTTGCCAAGCAAGCAGAGGAAACCAAATAGAGGACTATCAGGATGGTTGCAAGTGTTTCTTGATTTCTGGGAAAGACGTGTGACAGATGAGGGGTGGCAACAGCACTTACCTAACCCAACTAACCGGCTAAGGGGTATCTATTTTCCCTCTCCAGCTATATAAGCAGGGTTTATAGATGGCTCAGATTTGCACAGTGAAAGAAAATGAGGCAACAAGTGGGGAAATGTTAACTAGCCATAAGGAAAAATATTTTTCAGAGTAAGAGTGGTCAAACACTATAACTAATTTTTGTCTGTGATTCTCATTACCTATGCATTATCTAGGTATTTAATATTAAAAAAGCATTCTTCAACATACAGCTATGACTACCTATTCAGAGCAAGCCTTTTCCCTCTAAAACTATTACACAGTACTCCTGCCATTATTTGAAGGAGACCAAATACAACAGCTGTTTCTTAAAGCCAAGTAGAACTATATTAAAATAGCAGTTTAAACAACATACTGACATTTCAAACTTTCTCTTTGTCACTCTTGTATTACTACCCTTTCAGATTTTTTAATGTAAACTTACCATAAAAGTAATACATTTACAGTAATTCTATTTATAGTCATCACATTGGAAATAAAATCCCATAAATGGATAAAATGCTTTTTTGTTGTTAATGCATGGTGACCTAATGCCCTTTCATGTTAGTAGCCTATAACTGAAAGTTTTTATTTAAAACAAGAAGATATCATTGAAGGAGGCCAAAAGTATTGCCCAAATGCCTGTTGCAAGTATAAAATTCCTGTTGTACATAAAAAAGTATTAAAAAAAAGGTTAAAGCACTGTTAAATTATAAAGTAAATACAAAGTATGTCTACTGATATTTAAAGGTTTTGTTTCAGAATTTAGAAATGTGCATGGTTTGGACCTACCTTTCTATTTATAAATATCAGAAAGCTACAATTCACTGTTCCCTTTAAGTGGCCCATCCATTCTGGAGGTTAAAGAATTTGTTACAGCTAACACCGGAATATCTTATTCCTTTAGGAAAAGAAGGAGTTATTCCTACTTTTAATGCTCATCTGCAGGGTCATTAAATTTTCAGCCAAATGACCTGTTATAATGGAGAGAGCCTAGGTTTGCAGTCCTTGGCTTGGTCAAAGTAAACTAAGGATAGCGAAACCATCACTCCAAAGAGGAGTTGGCAGTAATTCTCTGCCATACTAGTGTATACCAGCTCTCCACTTTCCGGGGCACAAGGCTGCAAACTTAGGCAAGACTGAAAGCAAAAAGTGAACAGTACATCCACAATGTGACATGCTACAAGGAAAGCCCACAGAGCAAGGCAGCCTTTTGCCCCAGTGAGCCTGCATGCTGGGAAGGACCTGTCTCAGCACCAAATGGAAGAAGAAGGGGCTTGAACAAAGTTGACATTTGAGTGGGAGTGCTTCCAGTACAGTTCCCTCTACTTTCATTAGGTATTTGCCATATCCTTGTTCTTTCTTTCACAGAGATCTTCTTTACAAGTTGAGAAGGTATTGAATGGTATGAAAGAGCTGGATCATTACAGAATAATCCAGGATACAATGAGGTTTCTTCAACTGGAAGAACATCAGTCTGCTGTGATAATGTCATTTGGGTTGGAACTTCAGTTTAATCTAAAACAAAACCCCTTACATAAATTCTTTCATACAAGAACACTTTAAAAAAATGGGTGCATTTTCCTCTTATATGTAGAATCTATCAATGATTAATACTACTGTTGACTTCAGAGCAGGAACACTCCTTAAGTAAATAAAGATTAAGAGCAACATATAACAGAACTTTGGACCTTATTGACATTTTCACAGAATTTCCAATTTCAAGAACTTTTGCTACTTTGCATAAAAGACAGTCAGTGAAATCTTGTCACCACTGAAGTCAATGAAATCATCTTTTTCTCTGGTGGTGTTTTATGAATGTTGGCCTTACAGATGCTACTGGTATCTCAAGGAAATACTGCAGATCTCTCATGGATAACAGATAAAATAGAGTAACGACTTCAGCAAAAGATTACATGGACCTAAAGTAATTGTCTAATAGACTTGGGATTTTGCAAGTCATAGATGAATAAGGGTAATGAGGACATACTTTTAGTGCCCACATGCAAGGCCTTTTTGAGACTATACATGCACATATGTCCCATGTTCTCTCTAGAGATTCTGACTCAGTACAGTTCTGAGAACAATTATAACATCATTCACACATCCTAACCTGCGTGAACACTAGTTTTACTTGAAAGGAAGACAGTAGGTATCAAAAATTACCAGCATATCTCTTGATTAGGTTTCCAAAGAGTATCCTTCAGATCTCCTCCATTTAAAACACACTGCCTGTAGAGGAGGATTTTCCAAGGAGAACACCCCTTATTTATTTTCCTGCTTTCACAGAGAAGTGATAGATCTTACTTGGTACATGCTGTTACAGAATTAGGCTTAAATTACATGAAGAATAGAATGCTATTCTTCTGAACAGAAATGTAACTTTTTTTTTTTTAAAATTTCCAGTGAATACTTTGCTTTAAGGAAAACAATACAAATTACCAAGTAGAAACTAGCAGCACCTTCTCTTCTTTCCCTTCCTCACTCCTTCCTAAAGGTCAAGGCGGTGATTATGTTTCACAGAGCATCTGCCCATCCATTTGTTTTTTGGAACTGCTGAAATCACACTGACTTTTACACTCTGAGGGAGGAACATTATAGGAGAAGTATAAGCCTTTATGTAATTATAGATGAAGAGGGCAGACACTATAGAACAGTGACCTAAGGTTCTTATTACAGCAATAAGAGTAATATTGGGCTTATAACTTAAGGTTCTTATTACAGCAATGAGATTAATATTGGGCTTATAACTTGACAGAATTTTTCCTAATCAGTTCATCATTCAAAATGATTCACTGATTAAAAAGACATTTTAAATTAGGTGGAGACTTGTGGGTTACGTAAACTCTTAAAGTGTAAATTCATATAAACTGTTCCTAGAATCAAGGTAGGTTCCTAAATAAAAATGAACAATGCAGATGTCTGAAAGATGTTGGGATTTTAAAAGCCATCAAGCAAGACCCACCTTGCCTTTTTTTAATTCACTGGAAAGGGAAAGCATCGTGACATCCAGTTCTGAAGACACAACCAGATAAAACAGAAAAGGGTGAAAATTGTTTGTTCTACAGAGATAGCTCAACAACAACGTATCTCCAAGAAGCCATCACCTTCAGGACAGCTATGAAGACTGTCTCAAATATCTTGAGCTGATCCTGGTTCTGTGTTGCTCTCCTGTCTGTCTCCAAGGTAGCATAAATATGGATCTCTTTCTGGGTATCAGTACTGTATACTTCTATTTCCAGCAATAGATCTCAAGAGAAACAGATACCTTTGTTCAGTCCTTCTTAACTGAGTCTCTAGATGCATTTGTGTCTGCTCTGCCACCCACTAAACATAGACTAAACATTGCTTAGCCCCCACATGGCCAGGATTGTGTGCCCTGGTCACGTCCTCTGATAAAAATGAGATTAAAAATTGGGGGGGGGAGGGTGTGGAAATTAGATCTCATGCCCTGTACAAGTACTTTGAATAGTTCACTGGAGAATATTTTCTTTGGCTTGTAACAGAGAAAATATTAAATGTGTCATCCTTGATGTTACTTCCTGACCAGCTTGTAGTGAGTCTGCCACAATTCTTCCTGATGTATCTACATGGAGTCCATCTGCATAGTCACAGTTACAGAATACTCACTATTGACAGGCCCCAGGGAACCAGCACAAATCCTCACTCTGCTCAGCTGTACAAAATGGTATCTTACACCTTTTTTCAACTTTAAAGCTAACCATTTGCCTCTAGCTAACATTAAGTAGTGAATGAATGTCATCCAGTAAGACGTTAATCAAAGGAAATACAAAGCATACTGAAAGCAGCACTTATAAATCTTCTTCTTTCCTGTTGATTTTCTTAGGTCCTTATAAATGCAACCACATTTTCATCAGAAATCTTTATTCTAGAGGTCATGGTACAAACATTGCAAGGATTGTAATGAAATTAAGCTTTTTTATAAATTAAAATTCTGTTCCAACTGTTTGTTTAAATGCAAGGAAACCTTTAGAAGACAGTACTATATATTTTACCTGTCTTGGAAAAGACAAGGTGGCCTCTAACCAAAGGAATTTAGCACTTTTGTTGTCACTGCTAATTCAGAACATGCTACAAATTCTTTTCAAGAGTATCTCACTCATAGATAGTCTGACTTTATAATGTAAGTATGAGATGCTTCGTTTACTGAACTGATCTTAATAATGCATCAGCTACATTATGTGTCTTGTCTCTTAAAGAATTCTCTTTGAAAGGATCCATCTTTCCATTAGATCTGCAAAATTCTCCCTCAATGTGTAAATTGTAAAGAAGAAAGATGAGAGACAAGAATTCAGCTGTTTGCTTTCCTCAATCTTATTTTCAAATACAAGAAAATCATCTGCATCATCAGAGGCTGCAAATATACATATACACACATGCATACCTATACACACACATTTATACAAATACACATAAATGCATATATGTGTATATGTACACACATATTTTAGAGTTCCTGATGTGGTGCAAATCTACTTAATCTCAACAACAAATTTATCCTCAGCTTTATACAGTCTGTCTCAACACCCTCTAATGAAATACCTTAACTTCAATAATATTTCAGAAACTTTGCAGATGAGATGGAAAAAAACATCTATCTGAGAAGATCTGCAAGATATTTGTGGTCTAACTTCACCTTGTGAGGGCATTTTGGGTCTTTCTTTGAATAGTTCCACAGCAGACACTGCTTTTGAAAGAATCAAGAAGTGGTTCCTGGGAGGCAGAGAAAAGGGGATTGATGGTGTAGAAACAAGAAGAAATGTCAAAGGCAAGGAAAAAAGGATGAGGCTGGAAGGCTGTGATGAAGATTCAAACAAAAAGAGATATGAAATAGCTCTAAGCCTCTTACAACCTGCACAGAGAGGCCAGGGATGCACATAAGAATAAGAAGCTACATTCATGCTTATATATTCCTGGTGCAGATCCACCCAACAAGTGAGATATCAATTTTTTCTTTTACTCTTTTTTTATCATTTTTTCCCAGTGGAAAATGAGATAAACTGTGAGGAGATATTGATACGTTGTCAACAAACTTGGAATTCAGGAAAATCCTCTGCTTCCAAAATGTGAAGGTCTTGACCCCAAAACTCTCCCAGTGTTTTTCAAAACAACAATAAAGTTACTCATTTGGCAGAAATTACTGGCAAACATCCATTTCATTTATTTAAATTATTATGTTTCTGCTTTTAGCAAAACTAGAATCAAATTCTAAAATAATCAATTAAAAATAAACTGTGTTACAAAGATTTAATTATCATTCTGATCTGTATTGTTAAACTCAACAAAAAATAGTGAAATAATTGTGAACACGCACCTGATAAAAAAGGTCTTAGCAGTAAAAAATCATCATTGTGTCATAAACTGTACTCTATTATTGGTAGTAAGGTATGCCTTCAAATGTGAATTTCAAAAATTAATATTGTAACTGTCCTTTAATTACAAATGTTCTATTACATTCCAAAGCCAGAGTAAAGAGTATGATAATTAATTACATTATGTACGTTTATTTCAACATTGAGGCTATAAATCCTCATTGGTAAAAAGGATTTGCCTGTGCCAGCAGAACCTTTTTATATGCTCTGTTTCAAGAGAAAACTGATAATTACTAGTAGATTGCTTCTGCTCTCGCTGAATGGATTATCTAGGGTGGTAACCACGATGGTCCTAGAGATTAGATATGTAAAAGTAGTAGGGAATTGGCCCCTGAATTTAGACATCAAGAAAATTTGTGTCCTTCTTCAAAGTCAAATAAAACTGATACTGAATTTTGATCCTGGGCAAACTTGAACTCCTTCTTATTGTTTTCATGACTGCCTTTTATGTAATTCTCAACAGCTAATTATCCTAAGTGATTCTGGTAGCTGTTGTAGTATCTGGTATTTAAAACAGAAGCTATATCAGTGACTGAAAATTGTGGAAAGTGTTATTTAAATAGGACTAACTGCATAATGTAACAATTTCTGCTTGCTTGCTTACTTCCCAGCAGCACTTATCAGGAACCTGAAGTGTAAATGTTAGTGTTATTCCAAATTCACATATGCAACACAGGCTGCAAAACAACTCTGTTACTTTTCTTCATTAATAATTAAGAACAATTAATGTTTATCTAGTCCCTGCACCGGAAAAAAACAGGTTTGAAAGCTCAGCACATTTTCGCTGTTCAGCTCTATACAAGCTGCATACATAAATGATAAGTAGCATGCAAATGCTTAAACCCATTACAGGTTAACTGATTACCTCCTTAGAGCTGAGTGTCTCATTTTCTGGAATAGGCATCATGGGATGACTGGGCTGCTGAGCCAAGATGTCACAAGTTGGAGAGAGCATGAGGTTAAAAACAGGAAAAAGAAATCCACAATCAGTTTAATTTCTATATAAAATATCACTAAAATTTAATAATTAAAGCCAAACCCTCAGACGTACAGAGGATAGCAAGGCAAAGAGATCTCATTTGTGTTCAGCAGACTCTGATGCTACCCCTTATCTGTATGAAAATCTATTTAAAAGTATGGCCTGTTTTCTTTTATATTATATTCCCATAATTAAAAGAGTGGGGAAGGGTTAAAACCCTTTTGAATTTCAAGAAGGCATCTCAAGTAAAAAACACAGCAAGGGCACCTGCCTTATGATACATTTAGTATGAGATAATGCACATAAAGTTATTGAAAACTGCAACCATATTTCTGTCACTTTGAACAGCTTCTTAAATCTCCTCCAAAAGACCTTTCCTTAATTCAAAATTTCATAGACATAAATCATAAAAACATTTAACTAAAAAATGCTGTGTAACAGTAATTAGTATGTGCTGAAAGGAGTCTTAGATCTCAGTAACTTTCCAGTGTTTTGAACATTACATGTCTTGCATCCAACTAATGAAGTTCGATGGATGTGACTCAAGTGAAGAACCGTATCAGTTTCAAGGAGATTTTAATTAGAATGCAGGTAAATAGATTATCTGGAGCTTATAAAGGCAATGTCAAGATCACAAGCTTGTGACATCTTCCTATACAATGACACAGAGACATTCTTTTTAAAGCAAAGATTGTTGAAAGCGTTGGGATTTGAGTATTTTAGAATTCTATAAAAACAAGACAGGAAGAAGCCTGTTATTTTCAAATTACCAAAGGCATTAATTTGTTTTGGCATTTACATCAAATAGTAAATCAACAAATGTGTTGCTTAAAAATATTGCTCTTCTTCTAAGAAAATTGATTTTGACACTGTGCTTTTTGAGAAGCAAAATGGATCTGCTAAACCGGCCCAGCACACAAAGAAAGATACTGAAGTGGAATTTACTCTAATTTTCTGAAATTACATTATGGATCTGCTATGTATTGCTCTTTGTGAATTTGCCCTGATTCCTTTTCAGGGAAGAAAGAATCATCTCTAGCAACAACAGCAGCTTTGAACCACTTAACTTTTATTATTGTTGTTGTTGTTGTTGTTGTTATTATTGTTATTACTCTTTCTCAAAATGAAAATCAAGTGAATAACTTTAGGCAACAATTTTATTTATTCAATAAATTTCTACAAAGAAATAATTTTAGGCAAAAGAAGGGTAAGGAAGGGGTAAGGAGCATAGACTGTCTCAGTGGCAGCATCCCTCCCTCTGCTGTTCACCTGGTTTCCAGCATCAGCCAGGCAGCCACCAAGGCATGCCCCAGACCTCACACCACCCCAGTGTGCAGCACACACAGGCAGTGTTTGATGGTCTTCATGGGAGACAGAAGTTCCATTTCCAAATCCAGCACCCTGTGACTCCCGAGGGTGAGCAGTCCTTGATGATACACAGGTACAAAGTTCCAGCAACACCTAAGGTATCTTGGCAAGGGTATTTCATTGGAATAAACCCAAGAGTTGAGTTACCCTTTCCTTCATCAGAATACGGCATCTCTGTATTCCATGCAAAGCAAGAAGGGTCAACCAAAAAGACATGAAGCATTGATCATATCCTGTTCTGATCTGTGGCTAAGTCTTCTGAAAAGAATGGTCCACTGCTTGCAAGAAAGAAAAGTTCCCCAGTCAGGTAGTGATCCGAGACTGCAGCAGCTCTTTTCCTCAAATTGCAGACAGACAAACAATGAAAAATGCTCTTCTATTGTGTTATCTCATCCTGGCCTTTCTTGCTGGTATTCATTGCCTACCCTGTTAACCTGAAATGCCCCTCTCAGTCATGATTCTGCCTTACCATGTTCCTTGAGTATAAGGTCTCAAGACTCTCCTTAGACATGACAAAAGTAATTTTTGTCCAAGAAATACATTTGCTTCCTTTATTTTGATAGCATTCTCTTTTCAAACTAGAGAGTCAATACAAAGGACAGTCTCCACAGAGAGGAAAAATAACCTGTATTTTCTGGACAGACTCCCTTAATATTGATTATTTTGCAGAGCATTAATTGAAACAAGACAAGGAATTCACTGATTAATAATGAAGAAAAAAAGTTGGTGCACATTTAAGACTTGGAGAAAAAACAAACAATATACAGTTCTCTCTAATTTCAAAAGGTTTCTCTGACATAAAACCCTTGAAGTCACCATAGAAGAGTCTATACATTTTACAGTCAGGTGTGTCTAGTCTTAAGTAAGTCATATATGGCTCATTTATAAAGAAATTTATGCAGTACTTAAATGAATATGGATGACATAAGCCAAGTGCTGCACTGCTGAAATAGCACTTGGTCTTGCAAGTCCCTCAGAGGAGGTTGTTGGGTTTTTCCCTAAAATCATACAGTTCTGTCTCTTCCATCTGCAAAGAAGCTGAGTACCTTGGCCTGACTGACCTCATCCTAAAAAAACTGGGAGCAGGCTATCTGTGTTATTTATATCATGTCAATATAATCTGAAACGTGTCAGCCTTGCTGTAGGTTCCCATGCCTGTTCCCTGTTTAACCAAGAGGCTACAGAATGTTATCCCTTCCTTCCTGATTTTTCCTAAAAAGTAAGATTATTTGTGCTCTTGAATGCACACCACACAGTCAACATAAAACTACTAGAACATGAAGCAGGCAGAATGAGGTGGGATTAACTCTTTCTTACTAAACATTGTGTGACTGTCATCCCTGAGTCATATAGGAATACGGCCATGTCCACAAGATCTGAGGTGTGAATGCAACTTGGACTATGTACTTTTTATGGGTGTGTTGTGTAGTGAAACCTCATCAAGCTCTGTCACTGGCAGTTTTTCATCTCCAGGTCAAAGTAGCTGGCAAGGAAACCAGTTTCCATCTGCAAATGTGAAAGGATTATGCCTGTTGATGGTGGGAGACGAATATTGCTTTTCTAGTTTCTCTTCTTGTTTCCTTTGACAGTTACAAAACTCTGCATTACTATTACAAGGTTAATCAATAATACTTAACTTTTTTAGATACTACTCAGTTTTCTGGTAATGTGACATTCTCTTTATTATTTCTAAGAACAATGAAAGAGCAAACTAAATCTGCATTTCTGGTTGCAAAATTGTACTGAGGAGAGCAGAAAATCTTTACAATACAGAAGTATTTGCAGCATGTAAGATCAAAGGGAAACTACATACCTGGCCAAAATAACCTCTTACAAACTCAGTCAAGGCTTAGAAAAGAGGTGATTATATAACATCTTCGTTAGACCTTTGTTCATTTAGTTCTGTAATCAGCATGGCATATCTGCCTTTAAAAGGTCAGTTTACCTTTATTGTGCTATGAATCACAGCTGCCTCTGAACTAATATAAAGCTTTCTAAAGTGTTCTCAATTTAAGACCTTTTTCATTAATCTAAGTCACTCTCTAGAGGGTCTGCAACCTTTGCTAATTGAGGCACAGGTTTAAAACTGGAACCAGTGAGAGATAACACACATAAGAAATTAGAACATTTCAACTATAGTAACCAGAGAACATTCACATTTACACTGTTCTTTCAAACTACTCTGTTAAGTCTTTAATCCCCTTTGAAAATAAATTAGGTACTCTAGACTCTTATTAAGCATAGATACATTCCTTCACAACAGGCAAAATTGCTAATTTCTCCAAAGCTGAAAATATTTATTTAGATATGCACAGTAAGCAAATATTTTTATAAAACTGTTTTATGGATATACACTTTGTCCGAATACAAGAACATTAAATCTCATGTACCAATAAATGGTAAAATACCCACAGCAGCAAAGGAAGGACTACCTTCAGCTAAGGGGAAAGAAAATAATATAATATAAAGGGGTATGATAATGAAGTCTTTAGTCTCTTTGAAATGACACAGTATAAAATTTATTTCAAAGGTTCAGTTGGTTAAGTACCCAATTTTTTTGCATCTTTCACTTCTTTGTAAAAGGAAAAGTAGAAATGGTGATCACAACATAGATTTATAATGTGCCTTCAGACATTTATACAATAGAACATCCCAAAAGACGTGCAAATCATTATTATACACTACTGTAGCTGTGTAATTTTGTCTTAAAGATCTCAAAGCTGTTTCCAGGCACTGGAACCATGCAAACCTGGTTCCCTGATAGGTTCTCAGTAGACACAGGCCTGGAGGACACCAGAGTGTAATGAGACTGAAAGAATCAGAAAGGTTTGGTTGGAAGAGACCTTAAAGATCATCTGGTTCCAATTGCCCTGTCATGGACAGGGAAAACTTCCACTAGACCAGGTTGCTCAAAGTCCCATCCAGCCTGGCCTTAAACACTTCCAGAGGTGGGTCATCCACAACGGCTCTAGCCAACCTAGTACTGGAGAATACCAGAGGCTGGAGGAGTTACAAGGCTTTGCAGTAGGGATTCCTTATCTATAAGTAGAGTGGGAGGGAGATGCACACAAGAAGTGCATCAATATTCCTCAGGCTGCCTTTTCCTAGACCAAATTAAACTTCACATGCAGGGCCAGCCTGTGGCCCCAATTTGACTGGGAATTTTCTGTCTAAATGATTTTTCAATGAAAAATACTACAACAGAAAAATTAGGCTTTCTGCAAAATATCTTGATTTGTCTTGCAAATTCTCACTAGTAATTTAGAAAATTAAAATGAAATATTTAATTGTAAGAAAACTAATCTCTAACTAGAACACTGTGTTTTCTGTCCTGGATGTTTCACTTTGGAATACTTCCATAAAATACTAAAATCTATTTCACTATCAGTGCACTTTGTGGTAATCAAGGTAAGAGCCTCTGATTTCTGCTGTGGACTAGTGAAGACTAGAGCTCTTTGCAGGGTTAATTTCACTATAGGTGATTATGGGAGCTGGAGGCCAGCAAGAGTTCCAGGCCCATAATGAAGACGCCAGGCATGAGAACTACAACACACACATCCCTAGGGTAAGGC